GGGGATCATAGTTAAACAAAGGATTATAAAGGATATATCAATAAAAAATTTCTTCTTTAGAAAACAAAGCCATTATAAGTCATATTAGTTCAAAAGCATCTTTAGGTGGTGTAGATTCAAGTTTGTTCTAATCATACCCCCCCCCTCCACTTTAATATTTAAACTTTTGAATACCTAAGTGATTTCTGCTATTTCTGAACCAAAGTACTCAGGTGAGCGATGTGGCCAATAGGCCTCTTGTGTGAATGTAATTGGTTTGTAAATCACATTGACGTATGCTATTTCATGCAGCGTGATTGTGACGGTACATTTTGTCGTCCTGTTCATATTGTCGCCGGCGACAATGTGTACGAACACTCACTGAGCATATTGTCGTCCATCAGTACATCTCGCATGACAATGCATGGCAATGTTTCCATATAGATATGACTAATCATTGCTTTGCTGTTGTTAAGAAAAAATTTAAAGAATTTTCCTATAGATCCCTGTGTAAAACTTTGATCGCCCTTTGTGGCCCCAACCTAGGCCCGCAGGTCATGATTAATAGAAACTTGAATGTACACTACCTGAGGATGCTTCCATATAAATCACGGACCTACTGCTGTTCTCAGTATATGATCCAAAAATTTCAGAACGAGGAAAGGGGGGGGGGGTGCGGTTCAGATTTTTTTTTTTGGACAAACAAAAAAAAATCGTTTGTTTGTGAAGGAGTGTTACTGTATAAGTTAAGTATATTATTTTATCATGAAATTTTACCTGTGTACAAAATTGAGAATATATACAGGTTAAAAAAAAACAGAATTCACAAAAGCAAAGAAAAATGAAAAAAAAACAAACAAACAAACAAACGGAGGGGGCAGGGTGGGATAGGGATTGGGGAGGGGTTGGGATGCGCCGGTGCTAGATCCGCCTTTGGTTCTTGAGAAGATTTTTAAAGAGTATACCGTATATTCTAACGGAAAACTTTTATCACCAATTATGACCCCACCCTACCTATGGGGGTAATGATTTGAACAAAATTGATTTTGTTTTTGTTTGTTTGTTTGTTGTTTTAATATCCCTCTAGAGAATTTTTCACTCATAAGGAGACATCACCACTTGCCAGTGGAGGGCCAAAAATTTAGACCTATTCTCGGAACTCAGGTCCATTGAAAAGTGTGAAATCTTTTTCGTGCCAGAATCTAAAAAATTAAAAGTATACTTCATGTATGTACTTTCACATAAGTATCATCTCTTCTGATCCAGAAGTTCTTGAGAAGAAAATTTTGAAAGAATTATATATTCTTAAATATTCTATTAAAACTTTGCTCATCTATTGTAGCCCACCCTTTCACAGACATGATCTGAATAAAAGTGAATCTACACTTAATAATAAAGCTTTCACATAAGTTTCAACTTTTCTGACACAATGGTTCTCGAGAAGATTATTTAAAGATGTCACCAAATTTTCACTAATTCTTAACTATACATGTACTTTCTTGAAAGAGGGCGTGACCATTAATTTGAACAAACTTGACTCCCTTTATCCATGTTTGCTTTCTGGTAAGTTTGGTTGAAAATGAAATTGGCCTGTAGTTCCTGAGAAGAAGCTGAAAATGTGAAAAGTTTACAGACAGACAGACGGACGACACAAGAAATGTGATCAGAAAAGCTCACTGAAGCTATCAGCTCAGGTGAGCTAAAAATGTGTCAACCCCTACACCTGTATGAGAATTAAGCAAAAAGATGAATTCCAGATAACAATTCTACTGAACAAATAACTTTCAATCTCATATCCATTATATATAACGAGAATAAATAATAGACTGATTTTTCAGATATCTCAAGAATTACGGTATTTTGACATATCAAAGTCATGTAAACCACTACTGGACACAATTTTCTGAGCAACACCATTTCTCCCTACAGTATTGCGAGTAATGCTAAATGAATACAACTTGTTTACTTATTTATCAGCCAAACACTTTCCCCTTTTGTCTGTCTGTCTCTCTCTCTCTCTGTATGTCTCTCTCTCTCTCTCTTCACGACCTTAGTAAATATTCAACACACCACATCGGCGATAAAATGTGCCAATGGTCACAGTGCATTTTGTCGCCGACGACAAAACGTGCCGATACTTGACTGTACATTTTGTCTTCCATTACGCAGGAGGAAGAAAAAGGTTCGTCTCGGTACAAAATGTCGCCGGCGACAATATGTATCGATGGACGACGATATGTGCAGTCAGGGTAAGTACATTTTGTCGCCGACGACAATATGATATGTACCGTCACACCTCTCTTTTTGATGGCATGCTTAACGATACCTAAAACAACATAAGATTGTCCTTCGTAGTGTATACAATACAGTAGCGACAACGGACCGATGACAACGGACTGAATTTTCGTATATTGTCATGACAACGGACAAAAATTGAAATAAATCAAAATTTTCAGTTTTAATTTGTTCTCAATTTTTCTGTAAAGTAAAGGCTTACAACATGTCTCGATACTGTCTGCACCGATTGGTAAGTATATTATATTCTATTTACAAAAAATATAACATCTCGGAAGGAAAATGAATGAAATCCACATGTGTTTTCAACAGGGTTTAATATCGCCAACGCAAACTCCTCTTTTATTACTTGTTTTTAACGGCTGAAATTCATACAGCACCAAATAGGGTGCCAGCCCTGTTTCCTATTGCAATTTCAGACATTGTTATAGATAATTTAACTTGAAAAATGAAAAACTTCTCACAACCTGTCTTCTCAAGTCATGACACCGGACGGATTTTATCATAACCTCACCTGTATGTTCATGATAACGAACCAGTTTTAATGCTTAACTTTAAAGGTTTCTGACAACGGTACTGTCTAGGAACTTAACGTGTTCCTGGCCGTGAGGTCCAATATCTCACTCTGCGGTCAAACATCGATTTTTTATGACCTCTCAAAACATTGGAAATGTTAAATTAGACTTTTTAAAGTATAATTCATATAGGAACCAATTTTTAAAGGTTTCACATAATAACAATATATTTTATCATGCACATCTTGATGCACCTTATGATACATCAACTTACTGTAGATATGATGAGTCTAGGATAGGCAAGATATTAACACTTTATAAATTGACTACATGATTAGACATTATTTAACAGTGACATCAACATGATCTACTAATGGATTGACACGATTAAAATACTGAAAATTTGCCCCAAGGCTAAATAAATTTCAAATATATATACAGTAAAACTCGGTTATAACGAAGTCACTGGAACCTGTGAAATTACTTCGCTATATCCGTAATTCCTTATATCTGTATAAGGAAATTGTTAAATTTATATAGCTGGGGATCTAAGAAAACTTCGCTATATTCGTGAATTCGCAATATCCGTGTTCATACTAAACGAGTTTTACTGTAATATATTTTAATATATTTTTTTAAATACAGTCAAACCCTGTTATCTCGAACTCAATGGGACCGAGAAACAAGAGGCCCATGGGCCACATCGCTCACCTGAGTAACTTTGGCCATGCTGTTCTTTACCAGATTTCCACCCTTTTAATATACCTATTGTGGCCCTGCCCTACCCCCGGGGGTCATGATTTGAACAATTTAGAATCTACACTACCCCAGGATGCTTCCAAATAAGTTTCAGCTTTATTGGTCCAGTGGTTCTTGAAAAGAAGATTTTTAAAGATTTTTCTTATATATTTCAATGTAAAACTTGGATTCCCTACTGTGGCCCCGCCCTACCCCCGGGGGTCATGATTTGAATAATTTATAATCTACACTACTCCAGGATGCTTCCATGTAAGTTTCAGTTTTTCTGGCCCAGTGGTTCTTGAGAAGAAGATTTGTAAAGATTTTTCTTATGTATTTCAATGTAAAACTTGGATTCCCTATTGTGGCCCCGCCCTACCCCGGGGGTCATGATTTGAACAATTTATAATCTACACTACCCCAGGATGCTTCCATATAAGTTTCAGTTTTTCTGGCCCAGTGGTTCTTGAGAAGAAGATTTGTAAAAAATTTTCTTATGTATTTCAATGTAAAACTTTGATTCCCTACTGTAGCCCCGTCCTACCCCCGGGGGTCATGATTTGAACAATTTAGATTCTACACTACCCCAGGATGCTTCCATATAAGTTTCAGTATTTCTGGCCCAGTGGTTCTTGAGAAGAAGATTTGTAAAGATTTTTTCTATATATTTTAATGTAAAACTTGGATTCCCTATTGTGGCCCCGCCCTACCCCCGGGGGTCATGTTTGAACAATTTAGATTCTACACTACCCCAGGATGCTTCCATATAAGTTTCAGTATTTCTGGCCCAGTGGTTCTTGAGAAGAAGATTTTTTAAGATTTTTCCTATATATTTCAATGTAAAACTTGGATTCCCTATTGTGGCCCCGCCCTACCCCCGGGGGTCATGATTTGAACAATTTATAATCTACACTACCCCAGGATGCTTTCGTATAAGTTTCAGCTTTTCTGGCCCAGTGGTTCTTGAGAAGAAGATTTTTTAATGACCCCACCCTATTTTTGTCTTCTCTTGATTATCTCCCCTTGTGAGGGGACTTGGCCCTTCACTTTAACAATTAAAATTCCCCTTCACCCAAGGATGATTTGTACCAAGTTTGGTCAAAATTGGCCCAGTGGTTCTTGAGAAGAAGTCAAAAATGTGAAAAGTTTACAGACGGACGGACAGACAGACGGACAAACAGACGGACGGACGGACAAAATGTGATCAGAAAAGCTCACTTGAGCCTTTGGCTCAGGTGAGCTAAAAACTATGAGATATCCGAGGATTTGAGATAACAGGGGTAAATACTTAAAGTATAAGTGGTTGGGACTTCCAAATGACTTTGACATATCCAGGGTATTTGAGATATTAGTGTTCAAGATACCAAAGTTCAACTGTAACCATATTTTGTATTAAGAGAAGTAGAATTTTAAGCTTATAAAATACTGTTGCTTTTAGGTCTCTTGTTTCGGTTGTTGAAAAAAAACAATGGATTATCTTTTATTTTTTATTCTGTAACAATGTTTTTTTTTTCTGTACTAATGCCTTTATGATTAATCCTGATCAACAGTTTTAAATATATAACAACACTGACGTCAATACAAGAACGCTGTTGGTTAACAATACACATTACTTGCCAAATGATACAAGTTCTACCTTAATATAAACCAGAACAACATCAATCATCTGCAAACAGAATTTAAAACAACAAGCACTAGGACTGATTATCTGGTTGGAAACAAGTTCTTCTATAAAGTATATGCATATGCATATTTACAAAAGGTTAGAAATTCTGTTCTGTATAAAGTATATACATATTTACAAAGCTTAGAAGTTTTGTTCTATATGAAGTATATACATAGAATTAGCAGAAGATGTAACAACTTAAAAATATTTTTATGTACTCACAAAAAAAAATAATTGCATTGCTTGGTTGTATAAAACAGCAAACTAGAAGTATTTCATATACCAAAAATGAAAGTACAATATACATAAAATACTATGATGAGAAGAGATGAATGAAAGCACCAAATACACGGTATAAACATTAACAGTGGATAAAAGCCGAGTTAAAAATGAAAGTATGAGGTAAACTTTTGTCAGAATTCTTGTAAATACACTGTACATGTATGATATGCATTACACAGGTGATCTACAAAATGAATATCTCAAAAGTCCTTTACAATAAAAACAGAATGTTTAGGGTATTAAGACAAAAAGACGTTATAAATAAATAGCTAAAATACAGTAAATTTTATCTCTACAAACAGTTGCATAAAAACATACAAATTTGGCACAAGTGCATGTGTTTAATAAATTAGTTTGAATGGGGTTTTTTAGAGTAAAAGGAAAGAGAATATACATTCATATTTTGAACAAAGCATAAATAAATACTGCAAGCTATTTTATAAGAAAGTTTTTAGAGATAGTTTTCACAGACACTGGCACTACTTAAGAAGCACTGAATAAACCATCCATTTTTGTTCATTCCTAAAGTGCATGCTGTATAGCAACATCTTCAGAGACAGCATGATCTTGTAATGATTGGAAACTTAAAACAGTTTCCCAATGTCAACCAAAAGCAAAATCAAGGAATATTAAAATGCAGAATTATAAGTCAATTCTTGCTTGCAGAGCAATAAATAGGTAAGTAATCAAACGAAATCCAATTTCATGCCCATTTTTAATCAATTTCTCCAGCCTCAGACTTAGATTGTGTACTATCACTATAGTCACCACTCTGGAATTCTGGTATAGCTAAGACTTCCTGTATTCTATCTCCCACCTCATTCTCAATGTCTGGTTTGGATTCTAGATAGGAGTGCCAGTCAGAATCTGATAAGTCTTGTCCTGAGGATAGTTCAGTGGGACTAGGTAATGTAATACCTACACTGTCTATGTCATAGATTTCCTGTACATTGTAGCACTCTCTATTGCTCTCATCCTTGTAATAGTAAGCCATTGCTGATTCCATCTCATTTGAGATGAGCAGACATTGTTCAAAAGTGTCAAACAATTGATTTGAGGCCTGGTCACCAGTCATGTTCAGATGGATGTTCCTTCCTCTTTCTTCAGAGCGTACCTCTACATGATTGATGTCCATCTGATTCAGGTGTCTCCCAATGTGTCCTATAGACTGAACAGGGTCTTTGGATTCGGTTTCAAAGTCAACAGCAAAGCCAATGTTAAGATTCCTCACAGAAGGGTTGATAGGCTCTGGTTGATAAGGACTCATTGTCAATGAGTTTGGCAACTGAGGCTGATTTCCGTAGTTAATCTCTGTGATGGCAAGCTGACAGGTAAATCTGTAAATGAGGAAAGTCAGATCACTGTTTTAAAATTGCGTTCATTTGAAGTAGAATGTCTTAGTGTATCTTTATCACACAAACTGATTATAAAAAAAAAACATACACTCCAATAATTTGACCTTTAAAAGCAATAAAATTTTGGGGATTTCTTAGTAAATGTTACATATGTAGATATCCAATACTTACTGTGCACGGTATTTGCGTTTGGTGTGTTGAAACTGATGTAGAAGATGACGTAGTACGGTAAGGACTTCCTGAGACATTACTCGCATATCATTTGGCAAGGAGGGCAAGTACTCCAGCACCCTGTAAATATAATGTTTACATTTATGACTCAATATGTCTTCACATGAGGATTCATTAAATTTTGTTGAGTATATCATGTATAATAGTCTACAATCAAATGAATTACATTTAGCAGATTGTAACAAGCATATTGGTATTGTACAAAAACTGTACATTACTCCCAGTTACTGGTACAAATTTTTGAAGCACTCTACATGCTATCACTGAATCATTAAGACTATAGGTACACTTGTGTATGTGTACCTTGTCTCACTCACAGAGTATACTAGCACTTACCTGAGGGTGTAGTTATAGACAATATCTGCAGGTAAGAACCATGGGGCAACCATAAGGGAGGCTACTCTTAACGCTTTGTGTCTGTGGATGTACGATTGGAAGCCTTTATTCATGGAATCACAAGCCACCTGGAAGGCTGAAAATATTCAAAACATACAAATACATATATCCAAAACAATCACCTACTCTAGACTATGTTTTAAGTTTAAATCAGAGAGAAGTGGAAAGAGATCCTTAGATAGCATAGACATAAAGCACAAGAAGCATTACAGTATTTTCTCAGCCCTTATTTATGAGCAAGGAATAAAGAATATTTTACCAATATTTGTTGCAATGTTTATAGATATGTTCATCACAATTAAGCAGTGAATACTTATTTAAGTAAAGCACTGTCTAATACATCACACCTGAAGTTTCTGATGAGAATGTAGCTCTACTTTTGTGTAATATAATAAAGAAAGATGTATCTTAGTTTAGTCTATGATTGTAAAAGTCTATTAAGACCAAAACTGTAGGAGGAGTAGCATTTAAAAGAATTCAAAGAAATTCTATATTGATTAACCATGGCAACATTGTTTGTCAAAATCTAAAACTGAATTTTAAAAAACTGCGTATCTTAGTATAGTCTACATGTGTACCAAGTCTTACTGAAAATGGACCAAAACTGAAGGAAGAGAAGGTTTTTGAAGAAATTTGAAAAAAAACTTCTATTTTTAGGAACCGTGACAACAGTGTTTGTTAAAATCAAAAACTTATAAAAAGAATTATGTATCTTAATAGTGTCTACTTGTGTATCAAGTCTTTTGAAATTTGACCAAAACTGAAGGAGAAGTATGTTCTTAAAGCACTTCCTATGGATTTCTATTTTTAGTTATCATGGCAATACCCTTTGTTGAAATCAAAAACCAAAAATTTTGTATCCTAGTATTTTCTACTTATGTACCAAGTCTTACTGAAATTGGAAGTCGGGTGCGTCTTTTTACCACAAGGAACCACAAGGTACCACAAGGAACCACAAGGATACCACAAGGAACCACAAGGAACCCCAGGGATACCACAAGGTACCCCAGGGATACCATATACAACCTTAATTATTCTAAATATAGTTTATATGCACTTGTAAACTACAAAAAAAGGTTTTGAAGGGCAAATTAACACTTTGATTGTCCTTAAACAGAGCAGTTATCCAAGATAAAAATTTAAAAGTAGTATACTTAAACAATTAAGCTCAATTATGCATGTATAGTTTAGAGGAACTTTAATAATATTTTATAAGGTGTAAAAAAATAATCCTGTAACTATGAATGGTGTATTTCAATACACAGAACCAATGGAAACTCACATAAACCCAAAGAATACCATAGGCTTAAGGTACCACAAGAATACCCAAGGGTACCCTAGGAATATCTCAGTGACACCCTATTTAACTTTTAAAAATGTACATGTAAATATGGTTTATATTTGCATTTGTAAATGACATAGTAACTGATTATTGTATTTGTATATAGTGCAATACACAAAACAAAATGATACCCACATAAGAACAAAAGGATAGCCTTCAGTTACCACAAGGACATCCCAGAGTAACCCCAAAAATATCTCAAAATATCCCAAGGACATCCAGTTTGACCTTTATAAATCTAAAAATGGTTTTAATGCTTTTGTAAATAACTTAGTAACTGTTTATTACATATTTTCATACACAAAAGGATACTAAGAACCCCAATTAAGGAAACTCTAGGTATCCAAATAATACCCTTAAGTATCCCAATAAATTTGAGCTATTTCAGTGACATCCAATTCAGCTTTAATAAATGAAAATAAGGTTTTTGTGCATTTCTTAAAATTTTACATTGATCATTATCTGTTTATTGCTTAATTCAATACTCAAAATTAGAGGATTCAAAGGACGTACCCCAAGCATACACCATTGACACCTCATTCAAAATTAATAAATGTCATATTCATTTGTTAGTTAGATATTAAGTCTTTCTGAGGTTTATTTGCATTCACTGTGTACAAGTGAAAGATCATACAGTGTATTATGGTCATCTACCCCAAAATTTCAGCCAATCTGATTGATTAGAATTTTTCACTCATGATTTCAGACAAATTGTCATTTTTTCTGTGTTACCTGCTATATTAATGAACAAGTATATAATTTATTATTATTAAATGTTATTATTAACCTGAATAAAGAAAATACAACAGTAAATCGTCGTAAAAGTTTTGCAGTATGATGACTATAACTTACAAAACTTTATGCATAAAAAAAATATAACTCATACATGAAGGGGTCATAAAACCTAAATAAACAAATTTAATACAATAGGATAATTTCTGTCAAAGTACCACTATACACCAGAATATCTGTATTATTGTACCCAGCCCAAGTAGCCTTTCGATGACTTAACTTGCATGGATGATGCATCTAAGGATGTATACTACCACACTTGCTTCAGATGCTGGATCTGACCTATATTTTTTGGTTGAGAGACCAGAATTTTTTCTTTTTCTTTTTTTTTAGTGCAGGTTTCATTCTAGCTGAAGTAACTGTAAGCCCCCTGTGGTGACCAATCTTGCATGAATGATGCCTCAAGGAATGTACACATGCAGATCTATATGGTTTGGTTGCTGAATCTTAGTACATTTTTCTGTATGATTGAACAGTATGATTTAACAACAAAAAAAAAGATGTGGATCAAGCCCATGCCTATATATTACATGTAGTATGTACCTTTTAAAACATCCTACAGGGGCGCGGATCTAGAAATTTTTCAAAGAGGGGGGGGGGGGTGAAGAGGAAAAAGGATTGTTATAACATACATATACATACAGTTATAGTTTAACAACTTAATAGGATACACGGATGTAGAAGCGTTTTCAAAAGTAAGGGTGAGGGCAGCCAGGGAAAAAATATGGATTTCATGAAAATTTTTGTTAAAAAAAAAAAGTAAAGGAAAAAAAAACTCCGAACCCAAAAATCCTAATTTGTAGGGGGGGAAGTGGGGGCATTTTCTTTCAACAACCAAATTTATTCATACATTACTACGGTACATTAGCCTTTCACTGAACAATTTCTATCGTAAAAACACAACAAAAAATTGGGTCTCCCCCTCTCCCTCTCTCTCTATCTATGTGTCTCTTATTAGCAAATCCAAAAGGGGTGGGGGGGTTGCAAATCCCTGTATCTCCCCCCCCCCCCCAGGATCGGCCACTGCTACACGGACCAAACGTTGAAATCTTGCACTAATTACTACCCCAATATTTATAAAGGTTAGACTTTGTTGTACTTATAAATAACATTTAGTTGACTTGTACATCAAGATGACCTACGTAATATCTTTGATTTAATACTTATGTTTTGATAGTTTCTCAAGTACATGTACATGCCAGTTTTGCTGCATTTGATAAATATTTAACTTAAAATTTTTAATAAGTTTTGTTTGATTCATTGCATCAATCTTAATACTATAAATATTTTGGCACATAATTACAGGTACATGTACCGGTAATGTTTTAATTCGGATCTTTATAAATTCATTAATACTTTTCAAAAAAATATCAAAATCTATTCTCATGCAAGTTTATTACAATTTACAAATTCAGTACAACTGATTAATTTTCTCTTATAGGAATAGTAAATAGCTATATGGCTACCCTGGTACTTGTCTCAATCTATGTACTGGTTAGATTAAAAACTTTTTATATACATGTATTAAATTTTTAGGTCACAAAGAAGAGGATCCACATTCACTTTAAATTTTCTTTGCAAAATCACAACCTGGATTTTTAATAAAATTATTTTTTGAAAAAATGCATACAATTTTTGAACTCTGAGAAACACAAAAAGAAATAATTTAGACTGTAACATTATCATTATAAAGTGAGATCTGTTAAGTTCTCCACAAACCATAAAGTTTGGTGTTTCTTTTTAAATGTTTTTAATTAGCTCAAAATGGGTTTTGAATTTATTTGAGGTAATCAATTTCCAGTCAATTGAGTTTAATATTAATATGTGATAATTAACCCTTGGCCAACTTTTTCAAACATGTTTTAATTTATGCTATGTATTAATTTTACCAATGGCAGGTGCCATTTATGATTTATTGATGCAGGAAAGAATGGGTTATATATGATTTTTTTAACATGTTACATTCAAAATTATTGCCCATCTTTAGCAGCATGATCTGTAGAAATGTTGAAAGTACCGGTGTAGTAGAATTTTGGGGAAAAAATGGGTCAGCTTCAGGTATTTTTGTAAAAAATATTTAATTTATTTAATTAACAGTATCCAGCTAAATACAGTGACACAATTTAATGTTTATACTAATGTATGTAAATGGTACAAGAAAAATTATACATGTATAAGTTTATCAATAATCATTACATTATTAAATACCAGGTATATTTTTTCACTAACCATGCAGATTTACTTTTGTTTATATACCTAAGGTATGGTGTAACCAGTCTTGTGTACCTTGTGTATACACAAGTTAATCACTGAAAACTGTTGATTATTCCTATTAATTATCACTGTTGATTACCTGAAATGGTGGATCTATACATGCAAACAAGGCATCATATACACAAGAGTCTCGTTCTCAATATGTCACTGAAATACATGCTTGCTATTTTTCATACTTCTTTATTAGTAAATGGATATTTACTTTTCTATTAACTGGAAAATAAATAATATATTCTGTACTATCTATATAGACATCCATACAATTAAAGTATTAATTTCATAATACATGTTTCAATCTTTATGGAGAAATTTAATAAGTTTGAATTCATTTCCATAACAAAACTCAATGTTTGACATCCTTTTTAAATAATTGTTTTTAAATTTGAAATTATTAAGGAATTAACTCTATGAAAACACTGCATGAAGAAAATAATTTTGTTGAGAAAAGTTCTTGTGTTTATATAAATGTAAATTAACAAAAATTATTGTTGTTTACTTCATTATTGGATATGGGTGAATTAAAAAATATTGACTAAAATTTGAAATTTTAGAGAAAATTAAGTTTGTTTTTAAATTAATTAACATATATATATATTTACAAGATCAGATAATGTATAAATATTCTAGTTATTTTTTTTTAAGGGTCAATACGAATACACAAATCCATAGAAAAGTTTCAGAATTTTTATTTACAGAATTTATTAAAAAAATAACAATTTTTAAAATTATGAAAATAAAACACGCCTCCACCAAAAATATATTTGACCATGTGCACAGCATAACTTAAACCCATGTGGAACGTTAATTTAAAAAAAAGTGTTACAATTAATTCCCAATAAATTACTTTGAATTAAATTTATATGATCTTCTGATTCCAATCTGCTTTTTTCATAAAGTTATTCAATTAAATTTGAAAATGTATTAAATTTTCAAATACAGAAAAAAATATTTACCTACCTACCTACCCAACTTGAAATTTTAGGGTCAGGTGAGGGGAAACAGAAATATCTTTAATATTAATGGTCTAATTTTTTTTTTAAATACAAGATTTTGAAGGGATCCTCTTTAACCTTATTTTGTTGCACTCTTGACTTCTGATGTTTATTAAAAAACATCATCTTAAATTCATAATGCAATCATTTTAAATTTTGTAAAGCAGTTCATTGTTTGAAAATTGGAAAACATTTTATTTTTTAAATACCCAGGGGCAAAGATGGTTTTGAAAGAAATAATTTTGAAAAAGGCATTGTTGCTCAACACAACTATAAGCATTTTATTTTGCTTCATACCCAGGAGCAGAAAGATTTTCAAAGATTTTAATAAATGCTTAACAATATGTATCACATACCAATAGATCCACAACCTAACACCAGAACCCCTAGCTGACCCAGGGGCCACCACACCATGCATTTAATATGTTTGCTGAATTAAATATCGTAGAGTAGAGAATAATGCTTTTCATCATATTTACCCTAAAACTCTGACCCTTGGGCCATGAATATCACAAATGATAGAGGGCTCAATGCCTATTACAATCATGTCAACAGTTTGATTTCCAGGAGTCCCACCCCTCAAGCCCAGAAAGGGGGAAGGGTTAGGCACCATGAAATTCAAAATTCATGTTTCCCTTTAACCATAGATGCTATATGCCAAAATTGGTTAAAATTGGATCAGCAGTTCAAGCAAAAGTCGAACAGTTTTTCGGACCCTCTCGTCTGCACCTTTGGTAAATGCTCCAAAGTCCTAACATATAACCAGATTTGAATAAATTAAATCTACACTCCCTGAGGATGCTTCCATATAAATATGACCAATCATAGCTTTGCTGTTCTTGAGAAGAAGATTTTTAAAGATTTTCCCTATAAATTCCTATGTAAGACTTTTATCGTCTATTATTGTGATTCAGTCCTACCCCTCAGGGGTCATATATGATTTGATCAAATTTGAATCTACACAACCAGAGGATACTTCCATTTAAATATGACCAATCATTCCTATGTAGAATTTTGATTGTCCATTGTGGTCCTGCCCTACCCCGGATATCTTGATTTGAAAAAAAACTTGAATCTATTCTACCTGAGGATATTTTCATATTTTAGTTTCATTTTTTGCTGACCCAGTTTTGGTTCATGAGAAGATTTTTAAGAGATGCCATTAATTTTTCACTAATTTTTAAATTATCTCCCCTTGGAAGAGGGCGTGGTACTTCATTTGAACAAATTTGAATCCCTTTCACCCAAGAATACCTTGTGGTAAGTTTGGTTGAAATTGGCCCAGTTGTTTTTGAGAAGAAATCAAAAGTGTGAAAAGTTTACAGATAGATGGACAGCTGGATGGACAGGTGCACGCTGGACAATATGTGATCAGAAATAATAAACAGTTAATTAGCAAATGCATTTAAACTATGATTAGATTTTTTAAAAGTTTAATTAAGTGTCATTAAAGTGTCATTTTGATATTCTGTACATACATTGGTCTATCCTAGTGGTACAGGGGACATGACATTAGGGTTCTTATTGGGTATTGACTGATGGTTTGTGTATTGAAATGAACAATAAACCATTAACTTTTTATACATCATAAAAATACAATCTCTCCCTCTGAACTATGCATGCATAATTTAGCTGAAATTAGTGAATTTAATTTAGATATTACCTTCAGTTGGTTTAATAGCACCATACTGAACCTATTTAAGACAATTAAAGTGTTAATTTGCCCTTCAAATTTTTTTTTTGTAGTTTACAAGTGCATATAAACCATATTTAGAATAATTAAGGTTGTATATGGTGTCCCTGGGGTACCTTGTGGTATCCCTGGGGTTCCTTGTGGTATCCTTGTGGTTCCTTGTGGTACCTTGTGGTTCCTTGTGGTAAAAAGACGCACCTCCAAAAATGTAGGAGGAGTAGCATTTTATAAAATTGTTTACAGACAGATGGACGACGGACACCTTACCCATGCATAAACTCTTCTGGTCTCTGACCAGTGGAGCTAACAAGTTGTGATTTGTAATAGTCAATGTCGAAATAATTACGATTACACTGTATTTACATTCTTAAAGCTTATATCTACATAACTAAAGATATAGATAATATAAACGTTTTTTCCCCTACCAATCCTGAGGGATAAGCACACTTGTTAGTCATTAATACTTCATTCATTAGAGAATCCAAATTGTGTTCCAAATTTCATGCATAAATGAATCTATATTTTTGCAGTTGCAAAGAATTCTGCACCAAAGATGTTACCAAAGAAGGTTGAATACAAATGCCACTAAAATAAGTATACATACAGCAATGCAGACTACAACATTTGGGAGAATTCCTGTTCATATTATAGACTAATACCTTCTGCCACAGTTGGAGGTAGTGTATCAGTCAGGGCCCCTTGGACTTTCTGTCGACATTCCTGACAGTTTTCCCCATGGGGGTCCTCCTCCTCCTCCTCAAGTATGGACTCTTCCCCTTCAACTTGGTCAACATCCATGGTGTCCAACTGACATGAGCTCTGGACAGGACGAATGGAAGATTTAACCTTTAGGTGACGGGTGCAGGAGATCAGATCTGCATTACAATGACAAAGAATAGACAGTTTTCAGTAGGCCCAAATTAGCAAGAGTTATTTCCCATTGGCCGCCATATTGGAGGTCAACATGCTCATATTCCTTCATTATTCAACCAACTTTAACTTTTTATACTGGCCATTGTGAGGTAGGAAGCATTGTTTTTCAGAAAAATATACATTTGTTAAAGCCTCCTCAAATTCATAATTTTTACTCTATAAAGATTTTTCCCCAAATATTTCTGCTACACCCTATTAGATTTGGTAAGAGAAAGAGGAAACCACGAAGATGGTGGCCAAGGGAAATAACTCGGAGAGAAAATATGTCATATGAAAACTATCTATTATTTTCACAAAATAATTCAAACTTACAGGGGAAGAATTTTTTAAGTTCCAAATGCAATGAAAGAAATTGCTTATTGCTGATTAAAATATATGATCATGTTTAATTTTTAGAACTACCTACTTCTCTTCCTCTTTCTATACTATCATGTATAAACACAGTAAACACTGAGTTTGTGAATCAATTGCATTTGCCTGACTACCAAGAAAATTGCTATTCTATTTCCACTAAAACCACTATTAAAATCAAAGACATGATTATGAAGCTGCATATTTGTACTTTATAACAACAGAACATATAAGCTCTTACTGTTCTTCTGCAGAAACTTTAAGCAGTCATCAAATCCCTCAGTACACATGTCACTGAGTATGGAGGGGTGGGGAGGGAACAGTGCCCTAGAGATTCTGTACAGATTCCTGCTTGTTAGCTGCATACTCGTGTTGACTAGTATGATGTGTTCAAAATTTGATGAATTGTCAGAAGGACAGATGTCACTTTCTCCTGCAAAAGGAGAAACGGTGATGGTTTCATCATTCAGAATGGGAAGGTTGTCACTCAGACCTCCATCTACATACCTCTGAAAATGAAAGTAAACTATTGTAACCATTACTGCAATAAAGCTCCACTTTTTTTAATTAAAGAAAAGTCAAATAGCATGATTTTTAATCTCAGAATAGTGTTTGAAAAAAGTATATTAATGCGTTAGCATTATTTACTATCTTTTTTTTTGGGGGGGGGGGGGTAGGGGGGGCACAGATATAATCAGATAAAGAGAAAAAGTGGTGAAGTACACATTATGCCTGTCTTAACTTCATAGACACAGCAATATATGTTATGTTTCTACACAAAAAGGAATGTACAATGTACATATCAAGACAAAATTCAGTCTTGATATATTATTACATACATGTTCTCTTTGATCATATTGATGTCTAACTGAAATAAATCTGATGTCGTACTGGAGAATTGCCAGCAAAGTAAAATTACTGTACTCTGTATCAAACCTATATGCTGTCACCTTAATCTCTACATGAATGCCATTAACCCTAACAATAGATAATGAAATACTCTTGGCAGGTGTGATACCCATACACATGAGATCATCTTTAACATTTTAACTAATAGTCTGGACTTTTTGGCGATACATAACAATATGACAAAAGCACCATCCTTTGTTGAAAAAGATGGTCTATGCACTAGTTCATGTGATAAAGTTTACCCGACCTTTCCAATGCTAAAACAATCTCTGACTGAAAAATACAGCATTTTTTGTTATAAATTTCAGCATGTTACCACCTAAAGAAAGTCTAAATCAGTAGTAGACTTTAATATAATGAATTAGTGATCTTGGTGCACTCATGAAATGTAAAATGTAAAAAACTTACTGTTCCATGAAATGAAGGTGGTATCAATCCGGAGTAGAGTGGAACATGTGCACTGCATAGCAGAGCCTGAAAAAAAAGGAGGGATAGGATATTACATATTCTTTGAAAAACTCATGCAAAGGCAGCAGAATACATTTCAAGTTACAATTACTTCCACATGGAATCAAGACAGAATCTGTGGAATCAAGTTTATTTATTGTAATCTATAATCCATTGATTTATTTTCCTTTTAAATATATTTGTACACTTTTTGAATTAAATTATCACCTTTGTACATGTACTACATACATGTAATTCACTGTGAAAACTTTTTTTCAATTTGACTTCTAGGCTCTTTTTTTGTTTATAAATGTTTAGTCATTACTAATATTTCAGAGATATTCAAATTCAGCTTAGGTATGTATGTGTGTATTCTGTTATCTAAGGAATTCAGAGTTGAAGGACTTGACAGAATTTTTTTAAATTGACCTGCTAGACATGACCTGGTTGAAATCTAGGACTATGTAATATGTCATCTCAAGATACACCTAAATAACAAGTACATATAGTGCATGCTCTTATTCTGAATAATCTGAAAATACATATCTTATTTCATGACTATTTTAAGCATATAATTATATTCAGGACACCGACATACATAACATGGGAATAACAAGTGGGTAGTTCACAAATAATAATAAATTCTTGTTTCCATTCCACAACAACAATGAAAAAATATATATTTTGGGGGGAAAATTTTGGCACTGTGTCAAATTAGATTGACATACATTATTCTGTAAATTGGGAGAAATCTCCCTTCATTGTTAACATTATATACTGATCTTTGGCCAAGTGACCTAGAAACTTTTGCTTCTTTAAACATGTTAAATAAACTCTCATATGCTTTCAAATACTGGTTGTTAACACTCAAATAGTCTCACACTCTAGAATGTATACCTTATATCACCCACAATAATTATTGTATATAATTGCTCTCTTGGTGGGGCTTACCTGTATAAGATCAGCTTTAGAGTGGAATTCAGACACCAGCACTGCCTGCTTGTCACTGACTCTGGTCAGGGAGACATATAACCGACCTCTAACAATCTCATGAGCATTGTCTGGTAATATGGAATCCAGCACATCCCTGAGAATTCTTGAAATGTCAAAACTTGGATGTAGAGGCCCAAGAGCTCTGGAACGAGCTTTTGTTGCAAGTCGTAAAACAAAACTTGTACATTCACCTGAAGTTAAACATAATTTTATCTCATTAAGCATTTCTTGCAAAGGGTTCAATCTGTTTAGTGTTCAGTGTTTGACACTCTTTTTCCAACAGAATTCTTCTAGTCATTATGCATATACATGTAAATTACATAAATTATATATTATATGTATATACATCCTTCATAATATCTCAATAAACAGAAATTACTGAATCTTATTATCAACTAGGGTAATTAATATACAACTGATAATTATGAGCGACCTTTAATTTTCAATTTTTTTTTTAAAGTCTGAAAAACATCCTTATGAATGCTTGATCTAAAATTGACTTCTCCCTGACTAACTTTAATTATCTATTTTACTTTGTCAATTCTCTAAATCGATAATTTTTTTTGTGCGATCTCTTCTAAATAATCCCTTCCAAAATGTTCAAGAAAGTTTACTTTAAATGTATAATGGTACAACTTCCCACTGGAACTATTACTTAGTGGGTCATTCAACGAGGAACAAATTATTCAGTATTACATAGTACACAATTGGGGGCCCTCTGGCCACAATTGTACAAAGGCTAGGTGTGTTATGCATGTTTCTTTGTGTACAGGACAGGTGAAAAATGGGTGTTATAACTGGACCTAATCTAGACACAGCTGTGAAATGACAGATGGGTTAAATTTGCTTCACATTTCCATATTATCATATATTATGTTGAAATCTGTATGCATGGTCAGTTGTTCATCTGACTCATCTTACCAACTCAAGTGAGCTTTGTGTTATACAAACACAATCAACTTGAGATTTCCTGCAGATTATTGGTCAAGGAGCCTCCTTCCTTTCTCTATTGAAAATTACTGTTCATTAATCAGGATGAATGAAACATGCTGCATACATCCATGTTTGTATTCCCTATCATGTTCACTTGGAGGGGTACATCTCAAAATTTTACCAGCTAATTTTTACACCAGCTAACCTAAATCATTTAGGCCTACTACAAAATTATTCAATTGATTCACAAAAGTCACAATTTATATAACAGGCCTAGATCTAGTTTGAAAACAAGTCTTTAATACAGCTGGGGCTCTCGTGAAGAGTATGCTTTCTGTGAACACAATATTGGCATTCATTCACATGGATTTTGAACCTAATTAGAACAGTAACAATCAAATCATGCGAAATTAGGTCAATGGAGCACTCGTATAAAGGTCAAGGATCATTATGGCCAGGTTACGAAATACATGCTATTATAATCAACAGAAGTATAACTGTGATACAAAACAAAGCAGTACAAAACTTACCTATATCTATACCACACAACAAACAGGTACACACCAGGGCACCAGCGCTAGCTCCTAAAAACGTCGCCTTTTCAACCAGTTGTGGTGCATGTTGTTTAAGGCAAGATGCTACACCAACGTGGTAAATTCCCAAAAAGCCACAACCCGCGAAAGAAAAATTCATAATAAAACTTCTTTAGTCGTCCATTTTCTTGATATGTTTTTTTCCCCCGAAAACCTTTATAAATTCTTGAATGGTTGAACGTCAATGTTGTCGACTGAAGATTGCTACTTTCCCTAGCTGTTTGTTTTGACCACGTGACTGTTATTTCATCGCCGAGCCCCCCAAATAGAACGATTTGATTGGATGAAATTAATCATGTCATATCTAAAAAGAAGACTGGAATCCGGATTTCAAAAAGAAGTCTACATGCGTACGCCTATGGACATATATCCAATATATTTGGAAATCATTTTTCAGATTCATTAAATAAAATAATTTAACATCTGCAATTTATCTACCGACTGTATCTAGCCATAGGACACTCTCTTTTCCACTGTCTATTAATTATTCATTCAATGAAAAATTTCTTTGGTGGATAAAACATCTTAAAATACAGATTTAATTAATTTTCTTTACGTAATTCCAATTTCCTGTTTATACTGAGGTAATATATCATGTTAAATATGAAACAGGAAATATGAAATAAAAATTTTGTTCAGAAATCATGGCATCATGGGGTTAGAAATGTTGCTATAATAATTTCCTTGGATTCTAATGATCAATTACACTTTGTTCAGCATTGTATTTGAACAAATTTTGCATTCCCAACTGGCAAGGCAAAAAATTTTGAAATTTGGCAAAGACCTCAATAAGTTTTTCATAAAAATGATTCTTAATGAAATACGTACATAATGGGGGGAAAAAAATGAATATTATGATCCACTTACAGTCATTCACTGTAGACTTCTTGCAAAGTGGTTCAAAAGTCATATTGAAAAGATTCTTGATTTTTTTAAGTAACACAAACTTGATGCCATTATAAAGTGACTCAAGGGGGGAAATATGTATTAAATACAGGCATACAGGTATACTTCGGTTTTGCAGTGTTAAAGGCAGAGATTTTAAGCACTGCCTTCAAAAATACCTGGTCTGTGTACCCCTGTCAATCAAGTGCATTAAGGTACATCATTGGATGCTAGAACTTGATTGACATTTACTTACTAGTCCCTGTGTATACCTTGTACACCTTGTCTGGCACTCGTGGTGACCTTCAAATTAACTTTTGATCCTTTGATATTTGCCACACGTGGTACAATAGAGAAGCTGTATTACTATGGAATTTTTAGCTTGATAATATATATACAAACACTTATTTGAAATGATTATGATATTCTTTATGATAATACTAGTATATATAAAAAATTTGGTATAACTTTTATTCAAAGATCAACAAATACTTTGAATAATAATATTTTTTTAATGGTTGGGGAGTCTTTGACAAACATTAATGAAAATTATTTAGATTAACCTTTATTTACAACTTTTTATTTCTAATTTTCTCATCTAAAAATCCCAACACAGGTAAAGTGTGACTTCTTGGGTATATTTTACTGTGTATTAAATCACTTCCTGTGTATAGGGATTAGGAGACAAACAACCACAGGTAGACTGCTTGCCCTCAAGGCATTCACACCTGTACAAAACAAGCCCCTCCCTCACCTGGAATTTACCACCCTGTAAAAAATCTCTGTTTTAATTTGTCATATTTTAATCATATTAAAACTGAAGTGCACACGTCCATAGGGACTGGGAAAAAAGAAGACTAGATAATGCAACATCAAAATAAGTTTATTCCTTCTACAACAAAGATAACAATGCATGAGATTTTAATGCCAATTATAATTATCATTTATGGAAAATCATTAACAGGAATAAAATAGCTTATCATTTCAAACCATAGTCAAGTTACAAAAAGAAGAGGTATTCCAGGTAAACTCAAGAATATAAACAAGAGACTTATATATTAAATAGCTATATATGTCCTTGATATATTTTCAAGTATATTGCACAGAAACATCTGTTTCACAGTTATTTGAAAATTTACTGCATCTTGCCAAATTAAAAAAGAAAATTTTACTTACATGTACAATGTAGTTGATTATGAACAATGTACATTTATTGCATTTGTGATGGAAAGTGTTTATAAATTATGTATGAAGAACAAGCCATTACAGTGTACTTTTACTTTCCAATCTGATACTTCAGTGAATTTTGCAGACTTCAATATTCTATACAGTAAGATGACAAATGGTTAATTTTGAAACTGATTTACTAACAGCTTCACATCTTTTATTCAGTCATCCCTTAGCTAACATACCCAATTCCCAATAGGTTTACTAATGCATGTTTAATATACAGTACATCTTATCAATTTTGGCTTTTGATACATACATGTACAATACATTATTATAACAGCTATACATACTTGGTATAGGCAAATGGATTCCAAACATACATTATTGCACAAAAAGTATGCAGTATTTTATCAACACAACCACTAAACAAAAAATTGGACAATAGTAAGATTCAGATATATAACAAAGGATTTCAGTCTCATAAATATATAAACTTTGAAAAATAATAATAAACACAATATTTGTAAAGAAAAAAAATATATAAGTCAACGTACACAGATGGATTTCCTACAAGAATAAATACCATTTATAAAGCAGAGAGATCTATCAATTAATAAATTAATTCAATACATAACTTAAGGAATGTAAAAGTGAATGGAATTCATTGGTTAATACCAGTGACTTAAGAGTACTCTACAGCTATAAATAATACTTACATCATTTTAGCTATTATATATGTGATATAGAATTGTAAAACATAGAATATTTAACTGAGATTGGAGACAGGAAAGAGAGATTCATTTTATATTTAATGTACAAATATATCCTAATATGTTATTGTATATAAAATTCTCACAGACTTAAAAACTGCTTGAATTGAAAATCTACTTATTTAGTACTTTGAAAAAAAATTCAGAAGAGATTCTTAGCTCAGTCTATCTATTGCACAAATATTAATATGTCTATTTTTAATACTTAAGTATGGTCAAACACAAAGCACCAACTCCTTTGAATAATAAATCCACTGTTTTCTTAAGGTAGAACCTATGTCAGAAAAGTCTTTGTCACAAGATTTTCAAACTTTTCAAAATGATAAATTAGCACTCGTTTATCAACCAGTTAAAAATATGTGGTATGTTTCCTTGTTTCTAAATGTAGTGCAGCCTGTGCAACTTGGAATGATAATTTTACACTGCGACTACATATTTTCAGCCATTTTTAAGGGCACTGATCATAAAGAGGATATAGAAAATCACAAAAATAAATTTATACATCGTTCTTTATAGACTTTATTAACTGAACAGTATTAAGCAGTATTATTCAAGAATAAATTCTTTTTTTTATTCAATTGTCATAAAAGGTTAAGTCCACATTTCAACGAATATAGGAAAATGTGCTCAATATTTTTTGAGTCAATTTACCACATAAATTTGTAAATATTTTTCAAAAGTCTTTGTCAGAATGTTTTCAATCTTTAATATGAAGAAGAATATACCCAAATAATTACAAAAAGTGATTAAAATATATACTTTTCCCGACAATCGAATGAGAGACACTCTATTTATTAATATTTCTTTTGTTGACCTTTTTGCACTTTCACAGGATTTAATTATTAAATGACTGTTTTGGGGTTACGTTCAGATTTACAATGTGAATATTTATTAAAATTATGTAATTTTTTTTATTTAAAAAGATACTAGTAATATTTTAGGGAAACATTATTATTATACATCAACTATTATGAATACTTAACAAATATTTATGAAAGGGAATGCATGTCATTTCATGATAGACAATACAAAATTTACCCACAATTTTTTAAAAGATCTTTGACTCAGACACATTTCATGTACTATTTAGATTTCTTAGGATTTTTGATTTCCTTCAAAATAGTTGCATGTCATTCACATTATCACAGATGTGTAACTTCATTACAAGATGTAGTCTTGGAGAAAGTACGGGAAAAAGTAACATTAAATTAATTATGACATCATAATGAATCTAGCACCAAAAAGACGATCTAAACTCATTTACTTGATATGACGTCATACGACGTAGGTTCTACGTTAAGAAAGTCTCAAGAAAAAAGGTTGGGGGGCTGTCAGAAAAACTGAACATATGCAATACTTTGAAAAATCATCAATCACAATTTAATATATTAGAGGAAGATATCAATGTTGAATCTCTTACTCAAAATAATGTCAGGGCCACTAATTAATTTGAATTATCCCATATAATTAACATAATGATTTACAAGATGATAAGTTGCTACTACTAGGCAATTCCAGTGGGGTCTTGGGATCAGAACATTTTTAGTTTAACATAATTGTCACTCTTGATCCTCTGCAAAAACTGGACCCCTCAAAAGACTGGAAAAGAGATGTCTACAGTACACTGACTAAACTAAAGCTGCTTTTCTCTTTGATTACCTACCCACCTACCCCTTAACAAATGTCAAATTGTTCTGTTATTGGACTGTCTCATGAGAATATTTCCTGACTAAGAAAACAAAAAGGAATGTATATAATGCATCCCTAACTTTGATATTGCAAGCTTATTTTAAATAATGAGAGATTAAGTCACTATGCTGCAACATAAAAAGAGATTTGTGGATGATATTGATATGCAGATGATATTAATATGAAAAAGTTGACCTACCTAGGCCACAGCCTCATGAAGTGAACAACTTTCAAATTTCATCAATTGAAAGCTAATATGATAATTCGCAAAATGAACTTCTTATCAGTTTTAAGTCTAAAGAATATGATCACAAAAAATGTCAGAATATTGTGTAAGGATTATAAAACAAATATATGATGTTGTCTGACTGAAGAAAATTTCAAAGGGTTCAAAACTCCTGAAAAGATGATACTGATGAAACAAACTAAGTACTAGGAATCTTTTCTGGTGAATCCTAGGGTCAATACCCCTGTTGAGTCCACCAATATTGTCTTTATACCGAAGAATGTCAGAATGCATCCTTGATATTACTGAAAGGTCGTACTGCAAGGTCAACAGGAAGTTTAAAAGGAATGCTGTTCAGCTTGTCCAGAGACTTCAGAGCGTCATCAAACCCTTAAAAATACAAATTTTAGACGTTAACAATTATATATCATTATTAATAAATATGCATTGAAATATGTATTTCAAAATTTTTATGTTATGCAAAGCATGGGAGACACATAGGGATCATTTTGTCTGAAGTCCTGTTGGAATTGAAGCGTTGGAAATTTTTATTAGTACAGGTTATTATTACCTGAGGAAGAGAAAATGTTGCCATATTTTTCTTCCTTATAGGGATAAATTTGTGTGATTGAATTACTTTAACAAATCAATGTAGGTATAATTTTTGAAAAAAAAAAAGTTGTAGTATATGTATTACATGTTGTTGACAGAGATCTAGTAAGTTTGTGTACAATTTTCGGGGGGAGGGGGGGGGTTAATTTTTCAATTTTTGTTGCTTTTGAGGTATGAAGAGACCCACAAATTCATGTCCACCACGATATGTAAAATGTCATTTTCATAACTACTCAACAATTCTTCATCCATGAAATTAAATCCCCATGAACCCATAATGTTTCTTCAAACCACGAAAATTTGACCCCAAGAAAATATGTGATTTACAGTAATATCTCTCAGCTTTTTTCACACACACTGTGATATCTAACCTGTTCTGGCCACATAGCTCCAGTCCTGGTAGTAGCTGTCTATCAGAGTCTGAGTGCGAAAAAGTAGCTTAAACCAGACCACCAACTTCTTCTCACTAAGAAATAGAAAAACAACAGGTTAATAATTCAAGAAATGTATCACTAACAACCTCTAAATATTTAACTTCTGAATTCTGCATAATGCAAAAACAAAAAAATGTCTGTAGACTTTCCTGCTTACTTCAGAGCCAAGGAGATGAAAGCTTTAAAATGAGAATCTTCTGAGCGTTTGAGTGGGGTGTGTGAAGAGATGACCGTGTCTATGGCCCCTAGTAAGGTTTGTTTGGCTGTAATGGGCTTCCCTCCAACCATCTCCAAGTGAAAGGACTGGGACAACTTTCTGGCTGGGGACTCATTGTATTGTCTGCCGTGCTGAAAAAAGGAACTAGAATTTTACCTTGATTCAGACAAGGAACAGTTATTCAAGAAATATTAAATTACATCATTTTGATGGAAATTAACTTCTGACATGACAGATTTTCATTCAATTCATAAACACAGTCACAAAACTCAAAGGCCTTAATGGTCAACTGAGTATCTTGAGTTTTTCAGGCTATGATCTATTCTGAACTACTCAAAGCTGAAACTCTGGACTTAATTGAAATAAACTTTTACATTTTGGTGGGGACTCTATGTTCATTTTCATATTCATGCAGCTTGTCTCCTTCATGTAAAGGTTCAGGAGTAAAGAGGGTTTTCAAACAATAAATACATTTTAAATATATGATTAAGTACACCCCACCCTGGGGCCAGGGCCCTAAGGACATAAAATTCACTACCATCATGCATACAGGTTGCTTGCAAAATGTTCAGCAATAAATAAGATTTTCAAAGGTACACTGAATAATACATGTATGACAAATTTACAAAACCCTGGGGCATGATCCCTGGAACCTGGGAACAAGATATTTATTATCAAGAAAATGGATAGATTATCATTATGATTTCATATATACAAACCTCACTGCTCAAGGTCCATGAATGAGCTTTTCAAAGCTGTTATGAATTTTCAATACATTACAAAGTTAGCCACACCCTGGGGCCTCAATTCTGGACATGGAGGCCATGACTTTCAGAGTTTTGGTAATGGGATTGTTACTCATTACAATTATATTTGATACACAGGAGTGAAAAGGAAAATTTTTGAAGATTGCTATAATTACTGGTTTTGGCCACAACAAATCCTCAGACCCTAAGGAGGCAGAAACCATGAAATTCACAATAATTGTTTCCCTTTACCAATAGATACTATTTTTGCTAAATTGGTTGAAATTTTTCTGCTGCTTCAGAGACTTAAAAACTGAACCCTAGTGAAACCATTTCTGCTACACTGTTAGCTACATTCATAACTTACCTTCATGTCATAAAACTTTAGAAGTAAATCCCAGGCATGAAGAGAGTGTGTGATGGCAGCTGATCTGTTGGGGATACAGCCGAAAGGCACCAAGCTCTTACTCTGTCCGACCTACAACAAACAACAGTCACTTTAGTTATAGGGTTCCAAGCATACATCCAAAAGTGAACTTGAGTCATAAATCTTAATATCATAAGTAAATTGAGTAAACTCATATTCCTCTGAACATGAACCAGGACTATAAATGTTTACTTGTATTTTTCTAGGACAGAATAATGTTTGAATGTATTGCCCTCTTTAATTTTAATCCTCATACATTGAAAAAAAAAATGTTCTTTTGAAAAAGGAAAGTTTTTCATACAATGATGAACCTATAATCAGATGTATGATAAAAGTGATTTATCAATGAAATTCTGAAATATAATGATTAAATTTGAGTTGTTTGTTATTGATAACTTATACCTATAGGATATATATATAGGCCAGAGATATAAGAGTACACCTAGCTGAATAAGTGGGTGATAGATATATGGTGAACTGAACTGCCCTAAACAAATACACAGAATTATCCTAGGTGTAATGCACAGGTGTCTCCAAAGTGTGATGAACTATATCTTGTTAGATAACTCTTATCTGTTAATTATACAAATGATGCAATATACACTGCTAAACTGAAGCCAACTCATATCATCTACAGATAAGTATCAGGCCTGAGAGAAAAGAGTTCTACATTATGTTTCTATTCATCAAATAACATACAAAATTATCTTGTATTAGGAGTTCACATTAGTACTTCTTTCATAACCCCAGTGCATTTTTGCAAGGAATATGATGGCATTGGTCATTAAACAATGTATCAACGTTACCAGTGTTGATGTGAAATGTATACCTGGCCAGTGCTAAACTTTTAAAAACCTGCATATCCTGTTGACAAAATATTTACATGGTAGGTCAATAGTTTAATATACTGACCATGAATTTACTATCACATAGATAATTAAGAACATGCATGTAATCTGACTGATTAGATACTGTGGCCTGTTGTTTTTAGGATAATGCTGACCTCCATGAGTCCGTGTTGCATTAGGTCCCGTATCGCCATTGCTAGATCCTTCCTCACACACTGAGTGAGGGCGGGGCTACTTTGCTCCTGGCTCTAAAACATATATCAACAAGAAATTAATCACTACATTAAAAAACTAAAATTTAACCTACTTTAAACTGTTATCTACTGCACATCATTGTTCAATGATAGAGTACGTCACATTTCATATTTGTACGAAGTCATTGTCTTAATTGACACATTTATGATAACTGTACTGATAACAACCTCAAAGTAATCCACAAGTACATTTCAAGTGACGAAGAATAATACACTGTGAACTTTATCAGTACATAAAATGAATCAGAAATGAAAGCTTTTCTTTTGCATTCATTGCTGCAAAACTACAAATGAGAATCAAAAATGTTTGCTTGATGTAATGCATATAAAGCTGAAAACTGTTCATAGATTAAAACACACAACACTCTGTGGTATATGGTGTCTTTTACTTCTTTGCATTCTCACCTCTTCTGAATCACTTCCGTATTCACTCTGGTCATCTTTTGACTCTTTGTCTCATTTTTGTGACAATTTTAATGCTTTGTTGATACCTACCTCTTCTGAATCACTTCCGTATTCACTCTGGTCATCTTTTGGATCCTCGTCTTGTTTTTGCGACAGTTCTAATGTTTTGTTGATACCTACCTCTTCTGAATCACTTCCGTATTCACTCTGGTTATCTTTTGGATCCTCGTCTTGTTTTTGCGACAGTTCTAATGTTTTGTTGATACCTACCTCTTCTGAATCACTTCCGTATTCACTCTGGTCATCTTTTGGATCCTCGTCTTGCTTTTGCGACAGTTCTAATGTCTTGTTGATGGCCAATTCTAACCTTGCTCTAAGGTCCCTGTTTTAAAAAAAATAAAGATGTGAAATACATAGAAGAAAATCCCATTACCAGGTAACTGTAGGTAAAACTTATGCCCTGCTGACAGGGAGAGTTTAATTCAAATTAAATGCAAGTTACTGCAAATTAAATTTGAACCGTGTTCACACAGAGAATTTGATGCGAATTACCTGTAGTTTAATTCAAATTAATTTACTGTGCATCAAATTACTTCACATTATATTCATGTGAACGTGATTCATGGAATTACCTGTATTCATATTTTAAGAAGGAAAGCACTATTATTTATAATGTGTGTTATCATACTGTACTGAAAATTCTAAAACTCAATTCATTGCTTGATAACTCTACAGTTTCTTCCAGTGATACATTGCAAAATACTGTACGGTATACTTATGCCTAAGGTCAATGTTCATATTTCCTTACTTTTGGTAAACTTCTGTATCTTTTCATATTGTTTTTTTGGTTTCAGTTACTTCCCACATACTTCCTGAGCACACACATCCAGTATATTTAATCGTGTTAATGACTACTGAGACTATTTTGAGGGAAACTTTAATATGTGTCATTGTATTCATACCAGGTTTAGCTAGCTGTGATTTGACACCATAAACATATCAAAATATGTTACCAACATGTACAGCTTACTCTCACAAGCAGTTTTCAATGTGATGACATTTTGTTTACTTCTATTAGTTTAGATACAGACTTCAATGAATACCACATGAGATTTACCATTCATATCTTATTTGTCCAAAACAATGCTGGTCTATGGTTTGACTATGATTATGTTCACAATATTTGGTTGCTTCAACACTGAATGCTGTACAATAAACCCCTACCCCCAGTGATTTCCCTTTGTGGTCTTTTTCATCATGTTTTTCTTAAATTCTCCTGTCCCACATCCAAACTGTGTTATGATGAACATCTGTAATATGGTTAATGTCTTCTTAATAAAGGCCTGTGTGTCCTTGACATTCTTTTCCCTTTCGGCTTTCTCCTTCAGGCGACGATTCTGACCGTGAGGTAATCCTGAACAGCAGTCTTTTGAGGTATCTGAACTGTCATCCGGAAACTGAACAAAAATAGGTTACACATATAATTGTTATACAACTCAAAATAGAAATAAAATATTTACTCTCTGTTAAAGTGTGAAACCTTAAATAAAATGAAAAATTCATGTAAACAGCCAAAATACATGTTAACTTGGTAGATTTGGAAACATAACATATAATTATAGTAAAGTACCTTTTTCTTTATAAGGGAATAATTTATGCTATGAACGAGGACACAAATTTTCCTTGGAAATTTGTCATGGTGTACTTCAAGTGCATTTAAAACATACAATGGCATTTCAATAAATCTGTGTAATTTTCTACCAGCGGATTGAACAGAAATTGTGATTCCACAGAATTATGACACCATGGAAAAGAGTTTGTTTACTGTATCAAGATTGACTAAAACCATTAATTTTATTCCGTAGATTTTCTTTACTGCAATTTCATATAAAATAAACACTTATTGCTGATAAGCACATGTAATTATCTATTTTGAAAAATTATTAAGCTGTTTTTGACTATGAATTGGACTCATGGTGACTATGAAATGATGTAATTTCCTCAGTAGGTATGTACATGTACTATGATATCATGAATCAAATTATTATTTCTCTTTCATAAAATGAATTTCTTTTTTAATAGATAATATTTCTTTTTTAATTGATAATATTTCTTTTTCAATAGATAATATTTCATGCTGTATTTAATATGTCAAAATTGAACAAAACCTTGAATTCAAAAATTATAAGTACAGGTTTATACTGATCAATCTGTAACTCAAATCTATTATATTTATTATAAATTTTGGATCAAGGACTGTGCTGACATTTATTGTCTTCATTGAATGTACTTGAATGCACAAATTTTCTGTAAAATTCAAGATACTGAATTTTTACAAACCTGTCAATCATTCTAAAGACCCTCAGAAGGATTTTGTTTACAGGTAATGAGAGCATTTTAAAATCTCTTTTAATGAAATAATGTTAGAAACTGGACAATATGTGGACGGTGCGACCGTTAGGGCAAGCGCAGATACCTATATTCAGTTTTAATTTAGATCGGGCTCTTGAAACCGCACGTGACATTTAGTACATCTAGACTCTGACGTCACATGATGTCGCTTGTAAGACGCATTACCAAAACGAAGTCTGAACAGTGCTAATTTTAATAAAGAAGGTTTTATCTATTATTTATCTGCTATATATCCATAAAATCAAGGTGCGTATATGATTTTCTTGGAACTTCTTGTTACCGCGAGAACGTTGTTTGCAGTGAGATGCAATTCGCAAAGCATTATGGGACCACAGGTTACTGCGGAAAAAAATTCGTTTAGATCAAAGTGCAAAGTCCGATTTTTCTCTTCGCCAAGGCATTGTTTTAAGAGCTCGCAGTGACAGGCAGTGCTTCGCATCGCTCACTGTGCTAGCTATAAGGTAACAGTTGGTGAATTGATCTACATACAGGACCATTTATGCATAAAGTGAACTTACATGCAACTCTTTATGGTCGAATTTGCGTCAGCATTTAATCACCTGTGGCCCATACAAATGCATCAAGTTCTTAATTTTTATTGATTTGTTTATATTTTTTTGCAGAAATATTCACCTTATGTACCGGACAAGTGCATCTCTCTTTCCCTAGAGGTCCTGGGCTGCTAGCTTCTCCTACAAGATTTAATGAAATGTAGTGCAACTGTTATATAACTGCATTGTATAATTATCCTTCAAATGAACAAAATTATATTAAAGTTGATTCTAAAACAAAAAAAAAAGACAAAGAAACATTCAATAAATAAAAAATTTCCCAAGAAAATTATAAATAAATAGTTATTAGAAACTATTTCATAAACCAACTATAAAAAGCATTTAAAGGGAGGAAACTCTATTATCCCTACCTTGCAGGAAAGCAATAAACCTCTCTAGATCCACCACCTGAGTTCTTAGCTGACCTACAAGCTTTTCTTTAACCTTGGCAGGGTTTACAATCTAAAAATAAATCATAAATTCTAAACTACTTTTTTCTAAATAGCATTTTCTACAGTTTCTACTTTTACAAACTGTCCATTTCATACAAACCTCCAAATTTATGGGTCATCTAAAGAGATATTACAAATACCTTAATAAATTTCTCTTTTTCTGTAATTTCATAAACCTTAGATAGTTTGACTTTAATTATACCATTTTTGACAGAAGGATTCTACCTGTCCTATAGCATGATCCACTACATTTTTCAAGTCCTCTGTGCTGCAATAACAAACATGAAATTCATTACGTGATTTGATTTAACAATTGTGAAATATAGTTATAGTTATTCAATTTTATTGCATGTCTCTTACATTCTGTTCTGTAGCATTCAGAGATAAACACTGCATAGTGCATACAATAATATAGGGTTATTGAACTTATATTGGTAAATACTGGCACGAGTTGGCTGTACAAATGCACAAATGCACTCGCAAGCTTGTGCATTTGTACAGTCAACTCCTGCCAATATTTACCAATTTAAGTTCAAGAACTCCTTTATTATATAGCTAAAGCATCTCCAATTGATTTATACGAGGGCTGTTCAAAAATTACGCGGACTTGTTGCAGAGAAAAAATATTTGACGACAAAAACACACAAAAAGTCACACGTATTATAACAGAATCTTTACTTTAGTGGTCAACAAAATTTCATTTCAATATATTGGAAATAAATATCAATTTTGAGTGATTACTTCAGACCTATCATGGAATAACGGCGCAGTTAAAGTGAAATCTGCGACGTCGCGACATCATATAAAATATGCCATCTCATTTTCTCAAATAGTCTTCTCCTTCGTGTTTGATACACAGTTTGAGTCACTTTATCCACTCATCATAAACATCTATGTATTATTTCTTAACCAGCTTGGAATCTATAAAACTAGTGAATTATTTTAAATTTAGTTTGTCTTTAAACCCCAAAACTGCATCTACTTCTGAAATATTCTGTGACGTTGGTCGCCCTTAAAACGGTAACTGTACAGATCAAGTTTTTGTCGGTGATCTTCTTCCGACCCCCCCCCCCCCCCCCTGAAATTTTTTTTATTAAGGTCATACCGTCTGAATTTGTTTTGTGCTATTTGTAGACAGCTGTCTAGCTTATCGCTGGTTTACTACATTTTTCATTAATATATTTTGGGTCTCTGTTGACGTTTTCCATATTCTACACATAATTTGACAAGTGTGCGCTGCTCTGTCGAATCACTTGACGTCATTTTTGCAGTTGTTTTCATAGGGAACACATCGGAGAAAAATAACAATATTTCTGTTAATACTTCAAATATTACGTCAATAATTTTAATTCATAATAATGTAACAATATAAAGAATCTTTAGAGAGAATTGTCGAATAATCTCGCGAATTATAGAAAATCAATGAGAAATATTATGGGTTCTGTGAGTTCGTTTTTCAAATATTTTGCTGTGCTCCGTACATCACCATCGGCAATATGAAAACAGCAATAATTTTATGATAAATTAATTATTATCAAAACATTGTTCCAAAATTTTATTAAAATCATTAAGAAATATGTTTCTGTAAAATTTCATAGTTATTTGACGTCAGTAAAAATAAATAATAGCAGAGTCCGCGTAATTTTTGAACGGCCCTCGTATTAATGATTTCAATTAAATAACTCAAATTAATGAGAATTTTTCAGTATCGGTATTTAAAGTAATGTCTGTCCTGTAAGTGTTCAATTTCGCATCATTCCAATGATCCTACCAAGCATTATGATTTGCTTATTGAGGTTTTATTGAAGCTAATATGTACTAAATTATTAATAAATAATTTCAATTTTGTGTGGAAAAAAACGCATCTTAATACCTAGCTGCCACTACCTATCATAAATTTTTCTGAGAGAGGTTGACCAGACGACATTTTTTGTTTACAATGGGCATTCAATATTGAAGACTCATATTCGGAATGTTTGGGGCATACACATTTACATTATACAAACTCAGTGTTCAATAAAACACAAAGATATTGAACGCTAAAATTCTCTAGACTTTTATTAGTTTTTCATTGAAGACTATTTATTAGCTATATAATAATAATCAGTTATTGTTCAGTTTCTGTGGAATCATTTGATTTTGTGGTGGCTCAATATTCCTGGAATTGGAGAGTGCCCTGCATCCACTAATTCACATCCACAACGAAATTAATAATTGGGGTTTAATCTTTCATTATGAAGATATGAGCCAATACATGAAATGACATTCCCTCAAACTTCTAAAATTTAGGCAATCCACAAAAATTGGTCCCCACGAATTTTAATGATTCCACAGTATTGTACTGTACCTGAGTTTGTCAAAATTCTCCATATTGAGGTCCAGTTTGGTCTTCAGTTCGTCAATAACAACCCTCTGTTTTTCCATCATCTTATTAGTGGGCAGTTCTTCAACATCTCCTGTCTGCAAGCAGTGAACATTTTTTAAACAAATTACGTCTTATGTAGTACAGTAAATCACGATTATAACAAAGTGCCAGGGATGGATGATTTTGCTTCCTTGTAAATGTAACTTGTTATATATGTTAAGATCACAATATAATTTAGAGGCACAGGGAATAAAAATCATTTCCCTGTAAGCATCAATTTAGTATAAGTGTGTTCACTATAAGCGTGTTTTAGTGTACTTGCTTGATCATCTATCACATGGTCCTACAGATCATTATTAAAGTGTAAAAACACTACTTAACTAATTGCCTTAAAATTTGGAATGCAACAAAATATCATGATTTGGATTCATCACTGATTTGTTTATGAAATAGGACTGCCTTTACACTGATAAGATTTTACACAAAATGTAAACAATAAACAACTTAAATATAGCCTTACTAGTATCAAATACATATTAAGAAGTACATTTCCAACATTTGTAACAGTTAACCATATAATTTTTTGTTGCTAGACATTACATTTACAATGCATGGGTATACTTGCACATCAATTACTCAATGTAGTCTTACTTCCTTGGAAAATAAAAATTTGAAAGAATTTTACATATACATGTATCTTCCTTTTTATGTAAAAATTTAATCACTGTTGTTTCTCCATTCCCATTCACAATATAGAAGCAATTATCTTTAAAATATTACAGATGTTGAAATGTGATTTTTTTTTCATTTTTATCTTAACACAACAACCAATAATCTGTCTGAAAAAAATATCTCTTTAGTTTACTTTTTTATTGTAGATAAAAAATTCATGCATGTTTAAAATTCAAAGGAAATCTATGGAGAAAAGAGAGAAAAACTATTGTTTTTTTTTTATTATTCAGTTGGGTGAGGGCAAACAAACTTTTCTTTTTTTTTTTTTCATTGTACCCTACCCCGACCTAGAATCTAGAGACAGAGAGCAAATAATATGACATAAGCTTTTGGTTCTTTCATGTTTTAATTTTCATGCTTTTGTTTATCAGTTCTTTACCTCATATGCATAGTTTTCTAGATCCTCAAGCTGTGATTTCAGCTGCTGAATTAATTCTCTCTGTTTCTCTCTTTGTTCATTTATTTTATCTTCATGTTCTTTGTCACTCTAGAAGAAATCATCAAAATGTATGATAGAATCTTATAAACCAACACTTATAATAAATAAGATGTTGAGAGAGAGATCTATTATAATTTTAACTGACCCTTTCTTCCAAGATCTGTGCATCCTGTACTCGACTTCCCCTTACATCTGGAATCCCTTTAAAAGCAAATTCTTCTAATTCCTTTAATAAAACCTGTGTCAAAAGATTCATCAAGTTTTCATTATTTTAAAAATCAATCTAGTACTGGCATTCAATACCAGCACTAATATATAGATTACAACTACAGGTATTCAACATGTTCAACAGTATGAATATTATTTTTTTTCTTTTTCTTTTTCTTTTCTTTTCTTTCTTCCTTTTTTTTCTTTTTTTTTTTTTTTTGAATATGACAGTTCATGAACAAATCCTTTCTCAAATTTCTAGCACTGTATTTTTATAATATTTTAAAACAAGAAATTTGGCACATGCATACTTTGGAACAAACTAATTTTAGTGCCAAGCACATTCATCTCTGACAAATATTTTGCACAACCTCTACACTATTAAAATATAGAGAAAATTGTGATTCACAACTGAAGTTCATGTTTTTCTTACTGATCGTCATTCAAGCATTAACATTTCTTTATTCATATCTACAGTTACCTGTACCTGTTACTTGTAAAGTTTAAACACAGGTGATGATGCCCTAGGGTGAATCAAAGCTAACTGGGCGTAGCAAAAGTTTACACAGATAACAGAATATCCAAGCCACATGTATCTAAGAGACACATGTAGTAGAAACATATAAACTTTTTGGTTGTATTTTGAGTGTACATGTATATGCTAATATCATCTTCAATCACATGCACGTGTATTTTATCATGCATAATTTCATTGTAAACTGCATTATCATTTTATTTTTATCAAAACAAATTCCTTGTTTAATACAGTTAGTAGCTCATTGTAGTTTGCCATGTATAAATACTGGTTATGACACCTCTCGTGTACAGCCCACCGACACAATACAGTGTCAAAGCTGAGTTGAAAAAAAAAAAGAATGCATGGAACAAAACTAATACAAATCATCTGTCCAAATGATATCTATATTATTAAATGCAGGAAAATATTACCAAAGTAATCATCATTTTGTTAGTAAGTATAAATTAAATAGGGTCATGATTTTCATTGTTAACATTGACATGCTGGATGAAGAAATTTTGACCTTGGAAATTAAGTACTTGAATACAAACTCTGTTTAGAATTTCTTTTAATAAATCTGGAAATAAATAAATATGAAAAAAATATTTAGCCCATGTACGTCACTGCACCAAAAAGCTGCACCAAAAAAATAAGTTGTGTGCCGATTACTTTTCTAATTCTAAAAGAGTTTATCTAAATTTCATAAAAGACAAACCTCTTTTTGGTCTGGCTCTGAGTTCACTATTTGCTTCAGTCGGAACTGAACCTGAGCAAAATGTGTAGTGAGGGCAAGAAGGGAAGAATTCAGCTGCTCCTGTTCTTTTTCTAGTCGATCTAACTCTTCCATGTGACTTTCATGGCTATAATATAATACATCATTTCTGAATGACAGAGGCTTAATTACATGGACTGATTACTTTGATAAGTGAGCAAAATATTGATAGGTAAATCAACATCCATGAAAAATTATAAGTTGAAATTGCAATTACTGGTACAAACATAAATATCATACATATACTACATACCACTTCAATATATTTAATTCTGATTATACATTACATGCCATTTAATTGGATAGAAAAATTAGTTAACCAGTATATTGTATAGTCTGTGTTGCCTACATCACAATATGATTTGCTTCAAAAACGTATCAATCCGCTCAAATTTACATTTATAGTTTGTACAATTTGAAGGCATTTTTTGAAGGGAGATTGCCTTACTATTATTATTTTTTTTACACTTAAGAAGCAATAGAAAACAAGATGTGTTTGTGAAACACTGATGCCCCTGTATGGCAGCTTATGGCGAAGGTTAAAGTTTCTCAAATGCAAGTCAAAATCCAGGCCAAAAGAAAAAAAATGTTGGTACCCAAAGAAAGGTCTTGTCTCGAGGAATATACCTGTGAAATTTGAAAGACCTAGCTGCAACTGTTCAAAAGTTATGGCGAAGGTTAAAGTTTTTTAAAAGTAAGTAAAATGTCCAGGTCAAGGTCAAAGTTATTGGTATCCAAAGGAAGGTCTTGTCACAAGAATTACATATGTGAAGTATGAAAGCCCTAGCACCAACCATTCAAAAGTTATGACCAAGGTTAAAGTTTTTTCAAAAGTAGGTCAAACTCCTAGGTCAAGTTCAAAAGGTCAAAGTGGTTGGTACCCCAAAAAAAGATCTTGTCACAAGGATTACATATGTAAAGTATGAAAACCCTAGCTCCAACCATTCAAAAGTTATGGTCAAGGTTAAAGTTTTTCAAAAGTAGGTTAAACTCCTAGGTCAAGGTCAAACGGTCAAAGAGGTTGATATCCAGAGGAATGTCCTGTCACAAGGAATACACATGTGAAGTTTGAAACCCCAAGCACCACCTGTTCAGAAGTTATGGCCAGGGTTAAAGTCTCATAAAATTTTGCAAAAGTGGGTCAAACTCCAAGGTCAAGGTCAAAAGGTCAAATATGATGATACCCAAAGAAAGGTCTTGTCACAAGGAATACACATGTGAAATATGAAAGTCATAGCTCCAACCAATCAAAAGTTATGGGCAAGGTTAAAGTTGACAACAGACAGACAAACAGACAAACACAGATATGACAAAAACAATATACCCCCGGGATCTTTCAATCCGGGGGCATAAAAATCAAATTATAAGGAATAAATTTAAAAGCTATCGAAGTTTTATACTTGTGCTACCTGGGTTGGAACACAGTTTACACTTTTTTTAAAAACCACTTTGAGGTTTATAAAATATAAATAATTGCACTAGTTAGATTAATTAAAATTTGTCACAGGAGAAGCCCTCACTACAATTAGAATATATGTACCGTAAACTTGCAATGTAGCAAAATGGAGCAGATCTGCTCCAGCTCAATTTTGAAGAATACAAAAGTTGTTGCTCTGAAAATTTCATAACAAACCTTTCTGAGCTTGTGTATGCCTTCTACTCCACATAAACAAAAAAAAATCAACAAATTTCCTCAATGTTTTTCTTCGCTTCAAATTTACATGATATGTTGACATTTGGAACTCTCCAGATTGTTCTTAGTATAAGCACAGAACAGAATATCTGCCCTGTTCATTTTGCCACATTTCCAAAACACGGGATAAATTCTATCATTCAACCGGGTTCGTAGGACAATATCATTTTATGACAGAACATTCCATCTAAAACTGCCCCAACCCTGGGTATACAGTATAACTTGGGTAGCTATTAAATTCATTCTTAACTACGTGTAAATAAATCACATACTTAAGTTCCATTCTTGATGGGGCTGGACTTGTGGCTTGTCCTAATGGAGCCCATCTTTCTGTAGGACGATCGTCTAACTGTTCATCGAAACTGTCATAGTCATATTCCTCGGGTTCCTCCGCCGGTAGAGTCGTTTCTTCCATCATACTATTCAAATAATTAGATATTTCTTATTTTCAAACAACCAGAAACAAAGTGAAAAGGTGAACACGGTCAGAATCATCTATAGACTGTTTCACGGTAACTGCGGTACTGCTCTATTGCAGGGCAAAATGATATAGTTTGGTGAAATATGACGTAAAAGTAATTGTTAAATATACGTCATTTGATTATCTGTCAACAAAAACTTCACCAAACGTTATTATTTTGCCCTGCAAAAGAGCAGTACCGCAGTTATCGTGAAGGGGCTAATTCTTGAACTGTTAAAGAGAAAATTCGAAATTCTGTGTGTGACGTTTTAATTTTACTAGATTGGAGAACGATAACATCACTTTGATTCGTATTGTATGTTAAATACCTTACCTCCAAAATATTTATGTTTGCACACAGAATGCTTCAATTGTTCCCAGTGTTAGGTAACTGTGACATTTTCTATATTATCAGCAGCAGCTGTTGGTTTTCCATTTGTTTATCCGGGACTTCTTACGTGAATACAATTAGGGCGCGTTTACTCTTAGTTACGACATACTTTATAATATTCGTTTCAAGATCCTCTTCACTTCAATGAATATCTGTGAACTTTTCCCCTCCCGATCTGATGTCAGAGTTGTTTAATGTATGCATCGTTTCCAAATATCATAAAATATGGTTTCGTCACATGCTTTCATAAATTCACAGATTTCCTATTTCCTCCATCTAATATTGACCAAGAGGTGCTAGTCACTGCATGCGTCCCAAAACCAAAACACTCACGCATGAACGTATCTACAATATTACTCTCTTCTTTTTTTATCAATTCAAGCAGACTGAGATAAATTATGTACTTTTCAGTAAACATCATAAATACATGTACTTTGTTGTCTTTGAACATTTTTAATTCCTGGTACCAGGGACCTATATACTAAGTATAGTTATATGTAGGTCCCCGCTGGTACCTTATGTTGAAAGCTCAATATTTACACCTTTATATAATATAATTTTCTCAAAGTGCCCCAAAACATTTGGCTTTGGTGTTAAGATTGTCCTAAAAGGACTGTTAATTACATGTAAATAAACATTATATGCATCAAACTTGAAAATAGTTTTCGGCTTCTCGACATCACTGGAAAAGCAGTCAGGTTGAAGAAGGTGTTTGAAAATATTAAATTGATATTCATTTCAGGATATCACTACATTACATTTTGTATTACCAATAGTTTTACCAATCGTGTTTATTAAATTGGTATTAAATTATTGAATTTATATATAGTGATCTGGTCAATAACTATTAAAGACAAGATATAACTATGTGTTTGTGAAACACTGATGCCCCCGTATGGCAACTTATGGCAAAGGTTAAACATTCTCAAATGTAAATCAAATATGTTGGTACACAAAGTAAGGTCTTGTCTCGAGAAATATACCTGTAAAAATATGAAAGCCCTAGCAGCAACCATTGAATAGATATGGAAAAGGTTAAAGTTTTTCAAAAGTAAGTCAAACATCAAGGTCAAGGTCAAATGGTCAAAATGGTGGCCAAGGAAAGGCCTTCTCAGAAGAAATACACATGTGAAATATGAAAGCCGTAGCACCAATCGTTCAAAAAGTTATGGCCAAGGTTAAAGTTTTTCAAAAGTAGGTCAAATTCCTACGTCAAGGTTAAAGGGTCAAAGTTGTTGGTATCCAAAGGAAGGTCTTGTCATGAGGAATATATATGTGAAGTATGAAAGCCCTAGTACCAACCGTTTAAAAGTTATACATTTGACATGCCTATTCCTTGTGAGAAGACCTTTCTTTGGATACCAACAGTTGTAATCCATTCACCTTGACCTTGGAGTTTGACCTACTTTTGTAAAATTTTACCTTGGTCATAACTTTTGAACGATTGGTGCAACGGTTTTCATATTTCACATGTGTATTTTTTGTGAGAAGGCCTTTCCTTGGGCACCATTAATTTTGACCATTTGACCTTGACCTTGATGTTTGACTTAAAAATATACACGATTGGAAAAACCATTGGAATACAAAATGTATTGTAGTGATATCCTGAAATGAATATCAATTTAATATTTTCAAACACCTTCTTCAACCTGACTGCTTTTCCAGTGATTTCAAGAAGCCGAAAACTATTTTAAAGTTTGATGCATATAATGTTGCTGCTAGGGCTTTCATATATCACAGGTATATTCCTCGAAACAAGACCTTACTTTGGGTACCAACATATTGTCCCCCGCTTTCACTGAAAGTGGGGGATGTTAATTTCGGTGTGTCTGTCTGTCCGTCCGTCCGTCCGTCTGTATTTTTGTTTGTCTGTACCACTTTCGTTTCCGTTCGATATCTCGAGAAGCATTTAAGCTTTCGCAATGAAATTTTACGTAGCAACTCCCTATGGCCTAAAGGAAGAACCCTATTGATTTTGAGGTCAAACGGTCAAAGGTCAAGGTGCTAAATTAATTTATAAATACACTTTCGTTTCCGCGCGATATCTAGAAAAGCCTTTGAGCGTTTGTAATGAAATTTTACATAATAATTCCCTGTGGCCTAAGGAAGACCCCTATTGATTTTGAGGTCAAAAGGTCAAAGGTCAAGGTCGTAAATTCATACATTCTGTCTGTGTATAACACCTTTGTTTCCGGACGATATCTCAAGAAGCTTTTGAGCTTTAGCAATGAAATTGTATACCATAACTCCCTTTGGCCTCTCTCGCCCCTCTCAAAGTGCCCCCCCCCCTCTTTTTTTATTTTATTAAAAGTCGTACATGGCACTATTTTTAACACAGGAACATGTGGAGAGTTAATACATATAATACAGGTTATCGGCGGACTTTATTACATCTATCAGACCAAATTATACGGAAGCCCATTTAGGACCTATCAAAAAATATTTTTGAATTCGATATAACGAATTACATGTATTGTCGAATTTGTTAAAACGAATTTTATTTAAGGGGCATCAGTGTTTCACAAACACATGTTGTTTTTGTTTTGTTTTTTTTGCCACGGATTGTTTTGTTTTGTTTGTTTGTTTGGTTGGTTTTTATATGCCCCGTAATTGAAGATTAGGGGGCATATAATGTTTGATTTGTCCGTTTGTCTGACCGTTTTCTTGTCTTTGTTTTTCCTCAAAAACTTTAACCTTTCCCATAACATTTGAAGTTGGTGCTGGGACTTTCATATATTTCCCATGTATATTCCTTGTGATAAGATCTTTCTTCGGGTACCAACATATTTGACCTCTTGACCTTGGAGTTTGATCTACTTTTATTACAAAAATTTACCAAACTTTAACTGTGGCCATAACCTTTTAACGGTTGGAGCTAGGGTTTTTATATTTTACATGTGTATTCCATGTGTCCAGACCTTTCTTTTGGTACCAACATTTTTGACCTCTTGACCTTTACCTTGGAGTTTGACCTACATTAAAAAACCTTTAACCTTGCTTCTAACTTTTGAACCGTTGCTGTTAGGGCTTTCATATTTCAATTTTGCATTTCCTGTGACAAGACCTTTCCTTTGGTACCATTACACTTTGTCCCCATGACACTGACCTTGTAGTATGATCTTCTTTTTGAAAAACTTTAACCTTGGCCATGTTGTCTGTATAGTTAATACTAGGGCTGTTATATTTCACATGTGTATTCCTTGTGACAAGATCTTTCGTGGGGGTATCAACATATTTGACCTTGAACTTGGAGTTTGAACTACTTTTGCAAAAAATTACCAAAATTTAACTATGGCCATAACTCTTGAACGGTTGGAGCTAGGGCTTTTATATTTCACATGTGTATTTCATGTGTCCAGACCTTTCTTTGGGTACCAACATTTTTGACCTCTTTATCTTTACGTTTGAGTTTGACCATCTTTTGAAAACCTTTAACCTTGGCCATAACTTTTGAACGATGGGGGCTAGGACCTTCATATATCACATGTTTCTTCCTTGTGATAAGATCTTTTTGGGGTACATTTTTGACCTTATGATCTTGACTTGGAGTTTGACCAACATTTAAAAAAAGTTAACCTTGCCTATAACGTTTAAACCGTTGTTACTAAAGCTTTCATATTTCACATTGTCCTTGTGACAAGACCCTTCCTTTGGTACCATTATTTTTTGACCTCATGATATTGACCTTGGAGTATGACATACTTTTTTGAAAAACTTTTATCTTAATTGGCTATATTATCTGAATGGTTGATACTAGGGCTATCATATTTCACATGTGCATTCCTTGTAACACGACCTTTCTTGGGTATCAATATTTTTGAACTCTTGATCTTGACCTTGGAGTTTGACTTACATTTGAAAAAAAACTTTAAACCTTGGCCTTGAGCTGCCGTACAGGGGCATTTTATTTTATTTCTGAAATTCATGTTAGTGTGGCACTGGGAACTTAAAAGAGAAAAAAGCAAATTTAAAAAAATTGTGGTCCCCCGCTTTCGGTGTCTTAATAGATGTGATATCTTTATTTATGGCATATTGTTACTGTCTTGTTTGTGTGTCGTGTCTTGTCTGTGCATCATACAAAACAGACATATATTATTGAATCAATAACAGTTATGGCAAAGATTATAGCTTCTCAAAACTACATCAAACTTCAAGATCAATGTCATGAGGTCAAATATCATAATACAATTCGAAAGGTCTTGACACAAGTAATGCACGTGAAAAAAAAAATCAAAAACCGGAGTATACAGTCGGAAAGGTCTTGAAACAGGTAATGCACATTTCAAATGTAAATGCTATATCTTCTCTCAATCATAAGTTATCAGCAATGTTAAAACTTTTGAAAATTAGGTCAAACTTCAAGTTCATGGGGTTAAAAATCATAGTTTATTTGGAAATGCTTGTGACAGGCAATATGAAAGCCCTAACTTTTCTCATTCAAATTTGATCACTAATTTAACGACGTTGGATCCTGATATTTAAAGTCTTAAACTTTTTTTGTCAAGTATATTTTTAGCTTCTACACACATAGCTTAATTAAAAATCAAAACAAAAAATGGGGGTCAATATGCTTCTTTTGGCGCTACAGTACATTTAAAATGACCTTTTTGCACTGAATTTGTGTCTTAATCAAAAATAACATCTTCGACGTTTTCCCTCCAATATTTTTTATCCAATTAAATCATGGGGACAAAGTATGCTATTATTCTCTCTTAAAAAAGACACATTAAAATTGTGACAAAGAAAAATTTTCAAATTGCTTCGCATAATCAATTATTTGACCTTTCTGCACTCACAAAATGTCATTTTTCGGGCATTAAAAATTTAACAAGCAAGAAAAATATTTTAAAGTCTTAAACTTTTGCTGAATTTAAGTAGATTGATCAGAGTGATCTTATATATTCAGAAAAGAAAATCAAAAGTGGAGGTCTATGATGTTATTTTTTAGATATTACTAAAAAACTGTTAATTTTATGATAAAATTGGCTCAATTTTTTCCTGGAGTTTCAGAATATATTTTCTATATTTGTCACAATATGATGATAGAATTCACAAAAACTGATTTAATTAATATTTTAGAACCAGGACTAAACATTTCAATGCACAAAAAAGCTCTGTGTGCAGCCAGCATTGAAAAATAGGAATCTAAACTTAACAGTACTGTATATATTTCAGAAGGGAAAAAATGATCATTTTCTTCTAAAAAATCTTCCGCCACAAAATATAGTTCCTGGCTTAATCCTATTTGAATGGAATTTAATCGCGTTTTTTTTTTTCATTGGATATAGTATAATTTGCATTGTAGAATCCAGATTTAATGTTAGAACTTAAAAATAATGCAGAATTTTAGAAATAAAGCTCCAGACCAAAATCTGCTCAAAAGCTCAGGATCGAACGTCCTTAAAGTAATGTTAAAATTTTTGAAACGTAGGTCAAACTTCAAGGGCAAGGTCACAAGGTAAAAAAATACAGTATATTTGGAAAGGTCTTGTCACGTCAAAGTTAATACACGTGTCAAATATGAAAGCCCTATCTCTTCTCAATCAAAAGTTATAAGCAAAGATAAAATTTTTGAAAAGTAGGTCAAACTTCAAGGTCATGGGGTCAAAAACCATAGTATATTTGAAAAGGTCTTGTCACAAGTAATGTACATGTGAAATATGAAAGCACCATCTCTTCATTCAAAAGTTATGACCAAGGTTAAAGTCTGTGACATGGACAGACTGACAGACGAATGAGATTTAATGTCCCCTCGCTTTTGCGAAAGCAAGGGACAATCAATCAATGGTATATGCTATGATAGTGTGTACACGTGTGTGTGTGTGTAGGGGGGGGGGGGGGTAATATTAAATCTCACCAGGTGTGGGGTGGAGGGGGGTAATATCAAATCTCAAAACCAGGTGTTGGTGGGTGGGGAGGGTGGTTCTATACTATACATACGTCAGATGCCTGTGGAATGACATCTGTTTGATGTAATATAATTTTCATTTATAATGAATGCGCGAATTTCACGTAATATATATATAAAAGAATCTACTTACATTTTATCCGGTCTTATTTTTAAATTTGATCAAATTTACCCTAAGCACTTCTATTAATTATCTATTTAAAAACAGTTAAATATTAATCGATTGTCCAAGTTACAGGTGTTATTGATTTCTGAAAGAGTTCTTACAAAATGTATAAAACATTAAAGCACCTAATTAAACAAATTAACAAAGAGGTGTATATTGCGTCAATAAAAGTAAAACCTTACAAAAATGGCTGTTAGAATAATTATCTTAACGAAAACACTTCTTGTTGTGTTGGTTCTGGGTTCTGTCTCAAATATCACTCAAGCAGGTACGTGCGTGATGTTCTGATAATTTCTTTGTTTATTTCCTGCATAATCATCAAGAATTAATGCACATATATAAACAATAGATATGCATACCATTTATGTACCCCAACTTGCTTGTCAACTATACTTAAATGTAGAACTTCAACTATACTTAAATGTAGAACTTCACTCACTCAACCAGATTCATAGAAATCTGAGAACTTTACATTTTAAAACATTAAAAAAATACCGTCTTACTCAAAAGTAAACGAATATCATTTCATTAATAAAGTTAGAAAAATTGACAAGTATTTTTGTTTTACATTACAATTACAGGTACACGTGTTTTTCCTCATTTCTTACACAGGCATCTGACTTCGTGGATGGTGTAACCCCCAACCCCCACCCCACTATTTTATTTAAAGTAGAGGGACATGGTCTTAAATTTACGAAAAGGAATATGCCATCAGATATCGGAAAATAGGTATCACTATGCTTAGCCAGGAATTCATGAATTTTTGATAAGTTGTCGTGTCTAAATAAAAATTATCAGCGGATGGGAGTGGGGGTCCATCCATATGTCAGGTGCCTGGCTGTGGTTTCTTAACAATCATTCCAAGTGGTCACTCTTCAGCTGGACATTAAATCCACGTGTTATACTTTAACATACATTGCAGGTATATATAAGATATATATAAAGTAGAGCATTTTTTTTATATAAATGGTTTGAGTCGTGCTCACTCAGAGTTACAAAGGGCTTTCGATACATCATTTTTTTTAAAGAATGAGAATTCGGAATGCCAAGGGCAATGCTTCAATATGATTCTTTCATATATTATATTTTAGCAAATAATTCAATTCAATTCAATTAGTGTATTGACCAATTAAGGGCTCTCAAGGGACAAAAAGAAAGTACATTGTAAATACTCATATGGTCATATACATCTAATACAATATTCACGTATACACGAGAGAGAGAGTTGCACGATTAATAGGCCGGTGTGGCATGGATGGGAAAATTTTATAGTAAACGTATTTTTTTTCATTGAAGCTGTTGGGGATGATGAAAACTGTATTGTGGACAAAACTAAACCTGCTTCAGATGAAGGGAACTACATGGACTGTACAGATGAGTCGCTAGTGGCCCAGGGCAAGACCGACTGCTGTTCGCAGGAGGGCTCCGTTGGCTGCTGCAAGCCTGGCGAAAGGTGAGTACGAATGTAATCATGTGATACACTGTGTGCTTCTATTTAAAGAAGCAGTTTCAAATTTAATGCTCCGGCATTAAAACTTTGTTGTCGGTGATTTTTTTTTTTATTAAGGAAAGATAATTAAACTTAATTCTTCAATTTAATTTTTTTTTAAATTAAAAGCCATACATATTAACTGTTTGGCGGTACCAAGGGTCATTTCTGTCTTGCAGATGGGATAAAATGATTGCCATTGGAGTAGGTATAGGAGTGACCTTCATCCTTCTGGCTCTATTGTACATTTACCTTTTTTGGTGCAAAAGGGGCACAGTTCCTTGTCTGGATCGCTTGTTTGATAGAGCTCAGAAGAAATATTACGCAGTAGAGGACAGTCTACCGTAAGTTTCCATTTAAGACTGGCATACCAATGAAGAAATATGGTTTGGGGTTACTTATATATACTTTAATTATCCGTTAGAAATGCTTTCGTTAAAACCCCCTAACTTTAATAAATTGTCCGCCTTTGCGCGGAGGGGGATACATTTCATGTACAAGCCGCTTTCCCTCATTTTTTTTTTTCTTAGAAACTGAAGAATAATCTGCATTTCCTAAGGAGTGGGAGGGGGTTCTAAAGTCATTTTTTTGGTTACTTTACTATACAACTGTATAAATCTCTTAACTGAAATAAATAGTACTGAGAGAAAAGGGGGGGGGGGGTCGCGACCATCAGAATAAAAGAGCTAATGGAGGTTTTGAATTTAATCAGACTGATCTTTGTGTGGAATCACATTTTAATGCATCTGCAGAACCCTTCTAATTTTTTAATCTAACATCTTCGGGATATTCAAAAAAACAAGAGGCCCAAGGTCCTTAATGGTCACCTGAGTATAATACAACAATTTAGAAGTTAAATACACTGACAGATGAAGCTTTGTTGCCCTAAAGCAAGAGAAGTAGGAAGATCAGGATCAACAAAATAATTAGTCTAGTATTCAGTATCAACTCATAACTTAAGTTCTAATCTGTCCCCCACTTAATATTATCACCATGCAGACTATTAACAAACTATTAGTGCTTCTGTACTATTTTTAAACCCATATTAAGACCTCTTGCATTGACCTCTCTTATGGTCTTTGAAGAACTTTTAATAAGACAAGTTATTTTTGTCTCATTTTTATTTATCTATTACTTACAGGTCTGCCTGATTATTAAAACTAAGAAAGTACTTTTTGAATTATACGATAAACATTCTTGCATAATTATCTTATTCTATTAATCTTTCAAATACATTATTAACAGTGATTAATTATCAAAGGTGAATGGAAAAGGGGAATAACTTCTCTCAGTAGAATACAAATTAATAGAGCCCTGTCCAGGACCAGAATGCTTAGACAAATTGTCCAGATGTTCAAAAATCTGGTAGAAATATGCTTACTTATATCATTTAAACTTTTACTCAGTTTGCTTTCAATATGCCCAGAAGCAGAGAAGAATTTCACAGGTACAATGCATTTTCACTACAGATTCAACAAAGCCTTACCCTAACACCAGAACCCAAGACCAAAGGTCAAGAAATTTACAAATTTGGAAGAGTTACCCTCATCATCATAACTATGGACTTCAAAGAATTAACACTTTTCCACTATATTATCAAAAGCCCCCCCCCCCCCCTTCCTCATTATGCCAGAACCCCTGACCCTAGGACCACAAGATTTAAAAATTCTGTTCGAAGCTCCCATCTTCATCATAGCTAAGCAATTTATTTATCAGCTCAACACTAAGGAGCAGACAGGATTAATTAATGATTAATTAATAGAATTAATGCATTTTCACTATATAATCAATAGAGCCCCCCCCCCCCCCTCCTCCTCAAGAACCCCAAAAACTGAGGCCATGTATTTAAAAATTTTGGAAGAGGCATCCTTGCCTATCATAATCATGCACTTAGTTTGTTTAAATAATCTCCAGTAGCAAAGAAGAAGATTTTCATAGAATCAATGCATTTTCACTATATAATCAATAGAGCCCCGCCCTAACACCGGAACCCCTGACCCTGGGGCCATGAAATTCACAATTTTTAAAAAGGCATCCTTATTCATCATAACCATGCACTTAGTTTTTTTAAATAATCTCCAGTAGCAGAGAAGAAGATTTTCAAAGAATCAATGCATTTTCACTATATAATCAATAGAGCCCCACCCTAACACCAGAACCCCTGACCCTGGGGCCATGAAATAACAATTTTTGAAAAGGCATGCTTATGCATCATAACCATGCACTTAGTTTGTTTAAATAATACCCAGGAGCAGAGAAGAAGATTTTCAAAGAATTAATGCATTTTCACTATATAATCAATAGAGCCCTGCCCTAACACCAGAACCCCTGACCCTGGGGCCATGGCTTTCACAATTCTGGAAGGGGTCCACCTCATCATCATAACTATGTACTTAGTTTATCACCTTAATGCCCAGGAGCAGAGGAGAAGATTTTCAAAGAATTAATGCATTTTCACTATATAGTCGATAGAGCCCCGCCCTAACACCAGAACCCCTGACCCTGGGGCCATGAAATTCACAATGTGGGAAGAGGCTCTCTTGCTCATCATAACTATGTACTTAGTTACTTAATTTAATACCCAGGAGCAGAGAAGAAGTTCAAAGAAATAATGCACTTTCACTCTATGACCCTGGGGCCATGAATTTCACAATTTTGGAAGAGGCACTCTTGCTCATCATAACTATGTACTTAGTTACTTTACTTAATACAAAGGGCCAGAGAAGAAGATTTTCAAAGAATTAATGCTTTTTCACTATATAATCTATAGAGCCCCACCCTAACACCAGAACCCCTGACCCTGGGGCCATGAAATACACAATTTTTGAAAAGGCATCCTTATGCATCATAACCATGCACTTAGTTTGTTTAAATAATACCCAGGAGCAGAGAAGAAGATTTTCAAAAAAATAATGCACTTTCACTATATAATCAATAGAGCCCCACCCTAACACCAGAACCCCTGACCCTGGGGCCATGAATTTCACAATTTTGAAAGAGGCACTCTTGCTCATCATAACTATGTACTTAGTTACTTTATTTAATACCCAGGAGCAGAGAAGAAGATTTTCAAAGAATTCATGCATTTTCACTATATAATCAATAGAGCCACACCCTAACACCAGAACCCCTGACCCTGGGGCCATGAATTTCACAATTTTGGAAGAGGCACTCTTGCTCATCATAACTATGTACTTAGTTACCTTATTTAATACCCAGGAGCAGAGAAGAAGATTTTCAAAGAAATAATGCACTTTCACTATATGATCTATATAGCCCCACCCTGGGGCCAGAACCCCTGACCCTGGGGCCATGAATTTCACAATTTTGGTAGAGGGCTCAATGCTTATTACAATGATGCCAACAGTTTGACTGCTTGATGTCCAGGAGTAAAGAAGAAGATTTTTAAAGATTGCATTATTTTTGGTGGTTTTAGCCCCACCCCTCAGGCCCCAGGGGGGCAGGGACCATGAAATTCACAATTTTTGTTCCCCTTCACCCATAGATGCTATATGCCAAATTTGGTTGAAATTGGTTAAGCGGTTTCAGAGAAGAAGCTAAAAATGTTCAAATGTTAACGCACGACGCACGCCGACGGACGAGAACGGATAGCAATAGGTCACCTGAGTGACTCAGGTGACCTAAAAAGGAGACGACTTCATCACTCTGCTAGTAACAAATAGAGATTTATGGAACATAGGACAGATTACTGATTACAGGCCATATTTCTTGTTAGCAGCACCAAATATTATTACAAAGCGACAATGTATGACAAGGTAAAAGGTTGAGTATATCTTTATATGCATGTTTACTTCTTAAATGACATTCATAGACGTCGGAAGCAAATTGAAAGTTGAGGGGGGGGGGGGACCTCTTTCAGTACTAAATTTTTTTTCAGACGCTACCACTTACCCTTCTTTGATTACACTGCAATGTGCCTATTGAAAGTGGGGGAGGGGGGGGGCTAAACCCACGCTCCAATGTTCAATGCCTATATTATGTTTATCTTTGAAAAAAAGTGGGGGGGGGGGCTAAGCCTCCTAGCCCCCCCCCCCCCCCCCCCCGGTTCCGACGCCTATGACATTGACACTGAGATCCCGGTTTTGCAGATGCTGTGCCAGTAGAACAGAACAGAGAAAGATGGAGGCTGAGATAATGGCGAAGTCTAAAGACCAGCCTGCTCTGTCTCTCCCTGAGGACGTCCATGATGAGACCTCAAAAGACAGGTGGTGGGATGGCCAGTTCATCAAAAACGAATAGACTTTTTCACATATAGAACGATTTAGTCTGTTGTTTGTTTTTACAACTCCTCTTCTAAAAGAGGTTTTGCTTTTGGGCCTTTTCGTATGAAATACATAGAGTTTGTGTGTCTGAAAAATGACATGAATTAAAAACAGTCCAAAATTCATCAAGGCTATGCAATAAAACTTGCTTATAAGGAACTTGGATATAAGGAAATCACAGTTATAAGGAAGTTATATCTTTTCCCAATCCCTTGTAACTTTCTTATATAAAAAAAATTTGGTTATTAATTAAGGAATTAAAAGTTCATGTTTCTAGGACTTTCTTAAAAGTATTTAATGTCAATCTTTAACACGCCAAGGTCAATTTGGAGAGAAAGCGGAGTTTTTAATGATAATTTCTAATCTTTTATCTTGCTGGTTTTAGATAAAAATATGTTACATGGTAAAATTAGAGTAAATTTATATTTATTTTGAAGGATTTGATTTTTTTCATGGTTTTTGCATTGATTATATTTTTATATATAGATTTAGGGAGAATGAAAATATAAGGCTGGATTCATAGGAAAATTTCATGACAAATACATGTTTGTGTTTTAGCAATAATATATCCTATCCCAACTGTTTTTGCAAAATTCTATAACATATTTTTTGAGAATCTTATGTCCTTACATTCAGTTTCTCCTGTTCAAATGCATCAAAACAACAATGCTACATAGTTGCAGGAAAATGTAATATCGAATTGTCTCAAGCTTGGCTTGCTGGTGTTAAAATAAACATTTAATGATCATATCAAGTGTACACTCTTTCACCTTGGACCAAGTGATAAAAAATAAACTTCATGTTACTTTTATACAATTATCCTTACACCAAATGAACTTTGATCCTTCAATTAATGAATGCCTTCCTCACATTGTCCAATCCATCAGTAAAACTGATGATTTAAAGTCTGCATCACCTAAACTAATGGAAAGACATAGTTTTCTACTGGGCAACCATACTTTCTGCAGGCCTGTAATACTTCAAATGAATAAATCTGAAGGCATTTGTAATTGAAATACACAAAAACAGAAAAATTCTTTGTATGGTTTTCTTATTTATTGATGCAATCATAAAGAATCATGATTTTCTTACACAAAAACATTGAATGGATAAAATACACTAAAGAGATTAACAACAACCAATATGTCTGGTCCAATACCCCTCATCTCAATCCTCCTCATCCTCCTCCCTGTCTGGTCGTGGGCTTCTGCTTCCTGACCTTGCAGATCTCTCTGACCTTGGTGCACTCCTAGAACGAGAGCGTGACTGTGAAGGCCTGATCTCGTCCAGAACCTTCTCCTGGTCTGCTCTTGGGGGGCTTTCCTTATCAGGACTCTCCTTTTCATTTCTATCATTTGAGCGATCTCTGCTTCTTCTTGGGGATTTGGATGAGGACTCTTTCCTTTTTTCCCGTTTTGGTGACCTTGACCTAGATTTTCTCTCTCTGTCCCTGTCTCTTCTACAAAGGAATCACACTCAACTATATTAAATGACTTTAGAATATAAATCAAAACTGACAATAACATTCATAAATGAGGTCATAACTAACATCATTTACTTTGCTTTGTAAAAGTTGTATCCAAATTTTTGAAAAGTTTATTTTCAAGTATTAATGTTTCCACTTAAAATTTATGGTAGAAAATTTGTTTAACTCAGGCAAAAAAGTCATCCTCATAATAAAACAGAAATCTCTAGGCAAACTACATGTATAACTATAAATATAATTTTATCATTTGGTGACTCATAATACAAACCTGCTGCTCCTAGACCTGGAACCTGACCTAAAAATAGAATTAATAACAATGTATACATATTCTTAAAACCATACATAATTCCTAGATACATGTATTAATATGATCCTTTAGTAAACTGTAACTAAATATGAAGCACTGTACATTCAGAAGAAAAAAAATCAGAACAAAACAAAACTCAGACTGACCCATTCAGAAAATAAAATTGGATAGATGAAATTTTTCTGATAGTTACAGTATTAATTAATAAACATGATTGTTTGAAATCATAATATAAGTTAAAGTTTACCTATCCCTTCTTCTTGATCTGGATCTGAAACAGTAAATGAAAGTGTTAAGTACCCATATAGTATAAGCTTTAACAAGTAGACTTTAATGAAGTGTAATGCAAAAGGCACATGACATGCTCATCAGATATTGTTTATGTATCATAAACAGATGAGCATGCATGGAAGAAAATCATGTCACCCTTCATACAAAGAATTTCAATGATTTTTAATGTTTGGTGTGCATCTTCTACACTAGTCATGACACAAATGTCGAATCTGTCCCTTTGTTCATTCAATGTTCATTGTATTGCTTAGGAAAGATGACCAATGCCATCACCTAATAAAACATCAAAATACTAATTATCATGTTTATGATAACACTGACAAAAATTTTGCATTCGTCATCTTAATCAAACATGACTCTCAACAATTTGGTCCTTGGTTGGGATATTAAAAAGAAAAAATATATTACGAATACATCATATTTTTTTATTTTTTATAACTTTATAAAACATTAATTTTGAAAACAAAAGGCTGGCCATCAAGAACTATTTTAGTTTGACAAATGATATCAATTTCGATTAAGAGGTCAGATCTTTAATTCCTCTGCCTAATAACAATTTTTTCTCGATCAAATATTTAGTTAAAGTACTGGGTACCAGCAGATTTTGAAAGGCTTTTAAGTCATGTACTCAGAAATCTTCTTGTCTCTTTCCATGTGATTTTCTCTGTGCAGATATTACCTCTCTTAAAACATTTACAATAACAATTGTGTTTTAATATACATGTATCACCTTAATTAAAGGTCACAGTGACTTTAATGAAGGGGTTTGACGATTCTTGGTCAAATAATTTTCTAGTTATGAGCCGGAAGGGGATTTGCCATATTTGGGTATTTCTTCTTAATTGGACATAATTCTTAAACCTGACACACCTTTGATCCAGGATGCATTATCTGACAAAGTTCAATGAATCTAAGCTTTACAGTTATGAGACAGACACAAAAAAGCTGACAGTTGAGACAGACCAACAGTTATATGAACGGACATGATTGCCATACCAAAATACTCCCATCATAGACAGGCATATAAAAATTATTGAACAAAGAAATATTGATATGTAAGAACTCACCTTGACCTGCTTCTTCTTGACCTAGACCCACTTCTGGAACGAGACCTTGTTCTTCTTCTTCTGCGATCTCTGTAAATACAAGATTAGGAATCAAAGAGTGAATGCAAAAAGGAAAACAATGAAACTGTTAAACTCAATGAGCATATGTAATGTTTTATAGAAAAAATTATCTTCTGCAATATTTTGGGTCATGATCTTTTTTTTGTTTGAATAACCATATTAAAACCCCTGAAAGGACCAAAGGATAATTTCAAATTTCAGCAAATTTTTAGAGTTCCAAGCATAACATGGTGGCATACTAATTCATTTAAATGAATTGATAAATGCTCCAAGCCCCAGTAATGTTGGTCTTCTAATAGCTCGATGTTTTTGGAAAATCATGTACATAAAGCTATTACGTTTTTTGTTCAATATTGCTTTCATTGAAATGTACACACTACTGACTCGATAAGTCTTGAAGAATTTCAGAAGAGGCCAGCACCAGCAAAGACATTCATGCATTTAAAAAGCTTTACATGCTGTGGCTTGCTTGAAAGAATTTCTAGAATATAAGAGGAAAATGAGGTTTCTTGCGTATATTCTTTTGGTAAAGTAATGGCATGTATAAATGACTTTACTATATAACACTTACTGTCAATGTCTACAATTAAGTTTGTTTTTCCATTTAACACAATACTTACCCCTCTTGACTAATAGCAAAATATCACATTATTTCTTATACACGCCTACATTCAATACCACTCATTGCCCACCACAGAGGGACGCACCATTATTTTTTCAGGGGGCGCACTTCCTGAACACAGGGCTGTTGACCATAATCAACCAATCACACTTTAGAGAGAGGTCCGATCCGCAAAATTTTCGCGGCGGACCACCATCATCAACTCAAGCCATTGCCAACTCTTTGCCAACACAATCAATATACCATTACCACTTGCCTGATAAAAACATTACGGAGAGTCATAAATGGAGTGGAATTCTTCAGATTGTTTCCACTGTTAAACAGTTTTTTTTTCATGATAATAGAATTGTTAGTAAGTGCAAAGTGGTATTTTTGTTCTTTACCTTGTGAGGTAATCAGTTAGTATGCAAAAAGTTCTGAGAGAGGAAAATTGTTTACTGTTGGGTACAACATGTTTCAGAGTTACCAAAAATATCTGGTACTGCTAGTTGAGATGCCTCTCATCCTCTTGCTCTTTGAATGTACATGTATTTGTAAGATCAAGAACATGATAAACCCTTGCCAAAAATGCTACTTTATAGATGAGGATAAAGTCTGCATTGCAAGTTGGTAATTAGAAGTATGGACTTGAACAAAGACAAATGGAAAAAATTACATAAATGTCTTCAGAACCCAAACCCACTTGGACTGTTTACACACAAAACAAATAATTATCTAGGTAAATGGTGATGTTGTCACAAAGCTCACTTAGATGTCATGGTAATAGCAGGTTTCATTACAAGGTTTCCTTCTTTCTTTCTTTTTTTTTTTTGAAATTGGATCTGACTTTTATATAAAAAAATGTTTCAGACATTCATTCTTAATGTAACAAATTAATATCCATATGAACAAAAAACAAATATCGATCAGAAATAATGAACCTTCAACCATGGAGTGTGAAAGGATTTTTTTTTAATCGGTGAAATTGTTAAGTTTTAAAGGGAAAAAGGATTAAACTTTCAAATGATTTTTTTTCCTTCCGATTACTGAAAACTATACAAATTGAAAACCAAACAGTGAACATCAAATTCTAGTATCTGTTGGAAAAATACATTTATGATATTAAGCATAATTAGATTATAGAATGGCCTAGAGACTTGTACACACCGACTTCTGTTTCTTCGCCTTTGTCTCCAAATTTCAACACAGTCCCTGGAAAAATGGCCCTTCTCTCCACAAGTATAACACCGCAAATTTGGATCAAATCCTCTTCTTCTTCTTCCTCTTGTTCTTGGTCGTGCAAAAGAACATCTGACTCTTCCTCCAGCAAGAGGTCTGAAAAAAAAGGCCATATACTGCACAAACTTCTAACCAAAGAAATATTCATTTTACTGGACATAGTGACTTTCAATCCAAACATAAACAGTCTCAAATCAGAAGATAGGAACCTATTATTCCCTAATTTCGCTAACTTACAACTATTTTTATGATAAGATGACTTACTTCCCATCCATTTCTCTAATAGCTTTATCAGCATCCTCCCTGTACTTGTATACTACAAATGCAAAGCATGGTGGATTTCTTGCAACCCATACTTCTACCAATGGCCCAAACTTTTCAAATGCTCTTTCAATGTCTCGCTTGGAGGGATCCATGCCTAAATCAGCTACATGGATTCTATAACCCTCCTCTGGAGAAGGGCTTCTGCTGTCATAACTGGCACTTCTGCTGCGTCTGCGTTCATAGCTTCGACTACGACTTCTTGATCTAGATCTTCCCATTTCTATGTTCAAAGAAAGTTTGTTTTCACTTGCTGTTATTTGTTTATGTACAAAGGGAAATACATGCTATTAACACTGCAGAACTGCTAACATCATAAAATGAAAAATCGTGAGGAGGAAGTTGATGGGCAGCTTAGTTTGAATAATTTAACAGTGTCCTGGGACAAGTCCTCACCACAGTTAGAATACATCCCATATATTTGCAATGTAGCAAATAAGAGCCGATCTGCTCCAAAATGATTTTGAAGTGCACTGAAAATAACTACCAAATTAATCATAACAAACCTTTTTGAGATTGTATATGCCTTTTAACCTAAAAAATAATCCATATAAAGATGAAAATTCAACTCATTTTCTCAACGTTTTTTCTCGCTTCAAATTTTCATGCCATATTGACATTCAGAACTCTCTGGATTGATCATAGTAAATGCACTGAGTTTGTGTTATGATTATCGCCCGTGTTTATTTTGCTACACTGCAAATACACCGAACATATTCTCTCGTTAAACCGGGTCTGTAGGACAATATCATTTTAACAATAGAACGTTCTATCTAATGGGAAGATAAGCCCTCCCCCACTAAACCTTTGGACTTTTTCAGTATATATACATATATATGGTAGACAGACATCTCGGCCCAACGACACCTCGGCCCGTCACGTCTGACACCTCGGCCCTAACAGGTCGGCCCAAGATTATTGACACGTCGGCCCATATAAAAGACACCTCGGCCCAAGCGAAATTTTATGATGGAAAAAATTAATCCAGTGTCTGAATTGTTATTATCTTTTTACTTATCCTTTTTGACGGTTAAACAATTTTTTAAAACAAAAGTCAAGGGGGGGGGGGGGGTCTATAATAGAAAATTGGTTCACTTCCCAAAACAAATCAGATCAGCACGTTAACTAACATCTATCTCTTGTGGAAAATCCCCAATTTATACACTTAAGTGAAACTATGATATATATCAACATTCTTATGATCTTGACTTTGTATAAAATTGAGTTGCAGGAATTTTATCGTTTCATTTTGCATTACTTCTCTGACGATCTGAGATGGGTTGATAATTCGTGAAAAGATATATATGGACTTCATTTAAACAGTAACATTTTTGTAAATGCGATAATTTAACAATAGCAGCTATATATGCAGGAAAATTGCATAAATCGGATAAACGAAGAAATTCTGCTATATGGTTGGCAACCATTGGTTGCGGTCGTTAATCTTGAATTAACAAAAAAAAAAAAAAAAAAAGGAAGGACATTTTATTGTTTATAATTATGTCAGTATAAATAATCATATAAAATAATAGTTTAAGTACGTAAAATAATTGCATTATTGATCTGAACTTTATCATATGTTTCATCATGTTCATTGATTGAAAATCATAGTTTGATACAGATAGCTTAAAATATAAATTAAAAAAAAATCAGGGCTCGAACTAGTTTTTAATGTAAGTGGAATTCTTAAGAAATAAATGGATGTAAATGTTCTGAACGATTGTCTCACAATTAACCCTGCTCGTAATTATTCCCTCGATCATTGTCACAAATATGACTCGCACTGGAGACTCCCAAAGGATGCGCCGTGGCATCTTGTTTGTTTAGCTGTTAGCACTTTTAAAATTATAATTAATTGTTCTTTTATTTCTTGATTATCGTCAATCATGTAGCTCGTGGAAGGTCTTTTTATTACTAAAAATAATCTTGATTGTTTACTTTTTATTGAAGTCGCAGATTGGAAATATATAATACTTCCTAATAAAAGTTTGCTTGGACCGAGGTGTCTTATGTATGGGCCGAGGTGTCTTAAATTTTGGGCCGACCAGTCGAGGCCGAGGTGTCATTGGGCCGAGGTGTCGTTGGGCCGAGGTGCCTGACATTCATATATATATTTCACGGTTGCATGGCACAGCTAGATAGAACGTTCTACGTTAAAACAAGAAAAAAAAGGAATTGGAAGAAAGAATAGAGAAATCGTAAGGTGTACTTTAGACGCTTAATCTGTTAGCCACATGCCAATTCGTACGGATTGGCGGCTCAGACATTGTCATAATCTTCAGGATCTTTCCATCTTCCTGGTCTTACATCATGTACATACCATATTTATACAAGCAAGTGAAATTATGAGTTATAAAGCCAATTGTTGTTAGTTAAAGAAAAAGAAAACAGTAACTACGTGCTTAAAGCTTCATGCTATGCATCTAGAATTGACGAAATTGAGAAGAAAATTGAACAAATTGTACTTACTTCTGCAATTCTGCCCGCAAGTGCACGCCTCAAATCAACGTTAATGTAACGCTCAGATATTCTGTATAGTTAAAGCTCCGAATTCTAAACGTTTACGTGATACTTGAAAAATTACAATTAACCAAAATGTTAAAAAAAAAAGAAAAAGAAAAGACAATTAAATAAATTTGATCAATAAATTGATTTTTTTTTTTTTTATTAAAGTTTGTAATAAGAGGAAATATTTCATAGCTCCCGAGTTTATGTATCTTCAGCCAAGTGGGTCACGTGATCTGGCTCATGCAGCGTTGGCTCCATTTTGGATTTTAAGGTTAAGAGACGTTGAGTGATCGACAGAGACAGAGGAGAGAGAAAAAAAAGAAGAAAAATACATTTAACGAGAGTAAGCAGATATTGATTAGTTTTTTTTAAAATAAGACACAATACTTCCACTCTTAGTTTTTTAATGTATTCTTAATGGAGAGAAGGCCTACCACAAAAAGGACACACATTGCCTTGGGTTTTTTTTTGTTCCCTCCTGTACGCTCGTGATATGTTCAGTTGATGGCCATTGTAGTACTGTTACATTTTTAACTGTATAGTGTTTCTTGCAAGACATTTGTGAAATATTTATGCATTTAACTTTTACTAGGGGGCAAGCAAAAAAAAGGTAATACGTTGTTGACATCTTCAAGAAAATTTTTCTAGACACTAGCATTAAGACAAGTGGACTTGACATCTACATTTTCTAGGCTAGACAATACAGTAAGTGATTCCAGACCTAAACAATCGGAATCGCTGCATAAAAACACAATTTCTTTTTAAAAGCTTAAAAAAATTGTTTCAACAAGGTTCAAAGACAAATCCTAAAATGAAGGATATATAAAATATCATATTGCTGTTTTGATTTCGGCTGGAGTGGTTGGTATTGGCCTAAGCCCAGAGGGCATGGGGGGAGACCATCCAAGGACTGAGATACCAGGGAAGAGATAAAAACAGTGGTGTGATGTTTATATCATATATCTAAAACCAAAGGCAATAAAAGAACAAATATTAAGATATTTTTCCAACAAAAAGTTTTATTAAATTTTGTCACAAGAAATAAAATTAGAGTTGTCTTTATTTTTCGATGTTTATCAAATAAAAAATGACCCATCAAGAGAACACATGGTATCTTACTGTCAAAGCAATTAAATGTCTGTTGTTGATGTTCTCAGTAAACAAGAGTTACCTCTCTCATTTGGCTCACTTTTTTAAAACAGTTCTCTCAATATTCTAAATAATTTTAAAGATTCAAATCTAATTTTTGTATACAAAATATTTTTCTTTAACACTTTAATATAGATTTAACTTAATTCACACAAAATAAATAGAAATGATTGAAAGGATTTGAGGACGAGACAGCCCCTTGACAATGGGATGAGACAGGGATAACTCGGTCCTGAGGTCGAGGCAGTCCTAGTTCCCAGACGCGTTCTCACCAAGTCCAACATGCCTGTATCAGGGCTGATACACAACTTGGTATATGATATAGAAACAGACCCCGCACATGACCCTGTCTTTCAAAAGTTTACTGTTGCTCAAGGCCTCAAAAGGAAGCTGCTGGGGTAGTGTCGCATTTAAATTTTTTCTGAAGAAACAAGAAATTACTGAATGCTTCATGAAACTGAAAGAAAAGAGGGTTTTTTAAGGATTTCTTTTACATATTAAATAATATAATAAAGGGAATGCATTTCAGATTTTTTATCTTTTGATACAAACTACTCTATAAGGTTTTCAAAGTAAAGGGTTAGAGATCAATTGTAACTGGCTACGGGTTGAGGTTGATGAACAAAATCTTTTTGGACCTTACAACAATTATTTTTAAAAATTTTGATTTCTAAGTGGCATTTTATTAATGGAAGTGGTTAATTTCGCTGGTAGCTAGTTCTTGGGGAAAACGCTGCGTCAGTGTTTCCTTGCTTTTGGGGTTGCCAGATTAATGCGGACAATGTTTAAATTGGACCATGGTATGAAGGTCCCACACACAACTCTAAAAATTGATCATTTGTTTGTTAAATTTTGTTGAATTTCTGATTGAGTTTTTTTTTAATACTAGCATCATATCACAATGGTTGTAAGGTTTATAAAATCATGAATTGATTTATTTGACCCTTTGTTTTAATGGTGTTGACATGAAAGTCGCTCCTTATCAAGAAATCAGCATATCAGTGGCAATTGATAGAAAGTCACTTAAATATACTAAAAATGTTTTATTTAACCAAACTGGATTATCTTTTAACATCAACAAAGGATGTTACTTAATTTCTCATGCACATGGAGGACAAACTTTCCAAATTAAACGCAGACTGGATATTTTGTTTTCATTTATGAGAATTCTTTTTACTCAGAATGAATGTTACATGGTTAATTGTGTTTATTGCAACCTATAATGATAGTTCTAACTTTCAAATTTTTTTATCAATTTTATGCTTTGATTCAATTTGATAATCTATAGTAACTTTGGTCCAATTTTGCTACACTAATGTCTGTCAGTACTTTGATTTTACTTGACGTCAGGATACTGCTAAAGGATATTGTAAGTCAATGCCAACTATTTCATGGAACTGATAATATAAAGTTTGGTAGCTTGTAATTAAAAGGTCCAGTTGTGTTTATTTAAAGATATTTTGTTCCTTGCAGATGTCTCGATACAGGGATAGTAACCTGGAAGGAAAAATTTATGTTGGAGACTTGAGTCGTGATGCTTGTGAGAAGGACTTGGAGAGAGCATTTGAATATTATGGCAGACTGAGAAATGTTTGGGTTGCGCGCAATCCAGCAGGGTTTGCCTTCGTTGAATTTGAAGACCCAAGAGATGCTGATGATGCAGTACGAGGCATGGATGGAACGTAAGACTTTTTAACTTATATTACAGGGCATGTAATAGTAATTTTGGAAAAAAGAAGAAAATCACACTTTCGTAGAATTTAAAAAAACATAGCTTCATAGTTTATATGAAATTTATCACTTTAAAGCCAGGATCTTTGCAACAAAGAAGAAATTTAAACATTGAATAGGTCAGAGGAGATGGTAATTGAACATTAAACATGTAACAGACTGCACATTCAAGTCTCATTGCTGTCAGTTCTTGAGTTATAAGAAGAGAAGCAAAAAATTCATTTAAGATGGGTTTTAAGATTTTTCACATCTGGATGTAAAGACTTCGAAAGATTTTGCATATGAAAGGAGCTTGTGTGTCCTTATGACATAAGGATATGCAGGCTTATGTCACATAATTGTAAAACTACACATAAGAAATTTTTAAAATTCAATCAGAATTATTTCAATTATTCATCTTTTCAATAAGTGAGCTTTTTAACTCCCATGTTTTTAGTACACTCCACAACTGAAATAATAGTAGCCAACATAGTCAAAGTTATTTTTTTTCTCTCAGATCAATCTGTGGCTCCCGAGTTCGAGTAGAACATTCTACAGGGAAAGTTCGACCAAAACCTTGGTTGCGTGGTGGCAGACCCCCCAGGTCAGGTGGAGGAGGGGGAGGTCGTCGACCTTTTCATCCAGATGACAAATGTTATGAATGTGGTGGAAGAGGTCATTATGCATATGACTGCACACGCAGAGGGAGGTCCAATAGGGGTTCTAGAAGATCCAGGTAATCTTTGGACATGATTTGTGCAAGTTGTAGATTTTTTTCAGTGATTGCAAGGGGGAAATTATGAAGCAAGTCTCAAGAAGAAAACACATATCTGATAATTTTCATATTGTACGCTCAAGAGCATTTTAGGTTAGAAGCATAGGAACTGTGCATTAAAACAAGGGCAACTTTCAATATGAAATGTTTGAACTGGATTATTGTACATTAAATGCTTGTTTTCATATGTTTGCACATAGCATTGAACTTAAAACAGCTTTTTATATACAAAAATATGAGCCAATAATAACACAAATCTTCACTAATGCATTGCAGACATCCTCATGAACCATTGGCAAATGATCTAGACTGCCTCGGTTTTCAAGTTAGATTGCAACATACAATGTCTGAGCTCAACCACACCCTCTCTTGAAGTGCTCAGAATCTTCAAGTCCACATCCCCTTTTCCAACTTGAAAACACAAAAATATAGCTTCCCCTGTCTTGGAAATGATTAAGTCATCCCTGCCATTGTCCATCACGGCCCATCTGAGAATCTTCACCTCAGCTGATCATGATGACAAGAATTGCATTCATCACTACAGTCTATCATGGTTTGATCAGATTTGAGAATAGATTCACACCCTGCTTTGGACACCTGAACGTCCTGGCCGGTTAAAGTTGTAAGATTTCTCCTCACAATCAACAGTCATTGGCCAATTAGATCAGAGAATAGATATACTTCTTCCTCTTCACAACATCTACCTTTTGAGAGTAGATTCACATCAGATCTCAACACACCAGACTACTGGGGGCCAATCAAATTTGAGAGAATAGATTTACATCTTCAGATCAGCCAATAAGATTTGAAGGTAGACTGAGTCACCACCTGATTCTCCCCCTTCAGACTCTTCTTGATCTTTCTGCATTTTGATTACTTGTTGACAACAAATGGGTATGTTATTCTTCATTGTATGCAATTTTACTTTTTCAGTTTCAGAAGATTGGGTGGTTATTTGAAAGTATTGCACATAATGCAGTATAAAATTTTTAAAAAAAAAAGAAAGTCAGGGATCGACATAAACAATTATCTGACTGCCCAATGAAAGGATCAACATATTTGTCCAATCAAGCAATTGAAAAATTATTAAAAAATTATAAATTACTTTAATATCACTGATGTTTGTGGTGTAAAATTTTTTGTTGTTTGAGGAAAAATTACTGGTTTGTGGGGATTTGATTTTGTGGTTGTAGAAATATGGAGTTGTTATATATTGAAATTTTAAAGGTATATATGGTGTATCTGAGCTAAAAAAAAAAAAAAAAAAAAAAAAAACCTGATCGAGTGTAGATGAACATGATATTTGGTATGTACGTTCAAATTAAAATTTTCACCGATTTTGAACTTGAATAACTCCACGTTTCTATAGTTAAATTGACTTTAAACTGTGTCTGATATTTAAATGCGGAGTCGGTAAATAAATCGGTTATTGTTTTAAATTTCTAATATCAATTAAACGTAATCGGTTTAAATTGTGTTATTTACAGGAAAGTTGTATCTTTATATAAAGTAATAAAACAAATAGAAAGATATTTTTCCTTTTAATTAATCTGAACTTACCAAAAATATGCCATATATGACTTTAACATTTCATAGAGGGCGTGAATTCATTGGACTCTTCATAGCACGAAAACAATGAAAATTGAACTTTCACAAAAATTAGTGATTTCACGGTATGTTTGTGAAACAAAAAAATGTCAAAAATGGAAAGAAGCATCTTAATGGTAAAATAATGGAGGGTTCTCATGAGTGGATGCCACTTGGTATTTATAGTGTCGTAATTTAAAATTATAAACTAAAGGAAATAAACCAGATCACCAAGGCTTCTTTTGCACAACAGAAATTTACAAATTTTTATAATAAAGCAAAAGTTGATGTCTATCCCTGAAATAGTAACATATATATTGCTTGAATAATTGTATACACAACTGTTTTAAGAGTATTGAAATAAACTTAAGAAATCTGTATTCTGCCCATAGGAAAGTTTATTTTTCAGTGCCATTTGAAATCGAAGATACCATCATCCCATTTCCATTCTTTTGTTTCTTATTACAGATAAAAAGATTTTTTGTCGTAGGTTTCCACTTCAGTGTTGTTGATATAATTTTTAACATGTTAGTAAATAAAGTGTTGCTGGCCTCATTACAGATCTCGGTCCAGGTCAAGGTCCAGATCACCAAGGAGACGTAGTTATTCCAGATCTCGCAGTAGAAGTGTTAGCAGACCCAGATACCGCACCAGAAGTAGGACAAAGAGCAGGTCAGTTTGATGTCATAATTACCATCAGTATACAGTACTTTAGACAAAGAACAGGTCTCTCTGATGTCATAATTAGGCCAAATAAAAAAATATGTGTGGTTCCAGTTACCCGACTGTCCCTATTTTATACCCCTGACCCTAAACTTTTCTGGCAATTTTCATATTGTTTCCGGAATTTTCCCCGCTTTCCGTCATCGGCTCCGGTATTAGTTTTAGTTTCAGCAATGGCGGCCTCCAAGCAAAACATCGTTTCAACACTTAGTGCAAGTGTTCAGTTAATAGTGTTAAATCTAAAGCAAGCTAGCATAGCGCGGAAGCATTCCTTTTTTCCAGCACCATGTTTTTTGTTTTGTTTTTGCTTGCCAAAATTAAATAAATAGACAGACAGCTGGCCAGGTCATATGCCTTTGGGAGTTAGGGAGAAGATAACATGAGAAAACATCATTTGATTGCATTGATTACGCAAGAAATAGCCCAATGTGTAAGATAGATTAACTTGTAAATTATTAAATAATTTAATGTTTAAATCAGGATCGTTTCTTTTAAACTGAAAGTAGAAAAAAAAAATGAGTTGATGAGGAAAAGTGAAAAACAAGACAGCTGAATTTACCTGAATAAAGTCAACTTACATAGTACCAATATATATGAGAAATGAGCTTGGAAGTATAAAGTCTTCAATGAGGCAAAAAGTTTTCATTGTAAGAATTTAAAATTTTAACAATATGAAATATATTTCCTCTGACAGCTCTTAGCAGTACTCTATGTCCGTTTTCTAGTTTATCGTTCAATATTTATTATTAAATAAAATAAGAATTGCTCTGGATAAAAATCATTAATTTCATTTATAAACATGGATTTAAAAACAGGATGTTCACCTCGACTTTTTTTTTTTACAAAAAGAAATTAATAAGATTATTAGTGGGTTTATTATTTTTGATTTAAAAATATTTGTTTCATATTCATAACTAGGGTGTCCCTACCAATGTTGACTTGTATATTATCACGCCACATCTAAATGTCACTTGTTGCAAAGCAGTGATAGGTATTATTTAGAAAAATTTAGAAAATCATTTTGTAAAAAAAATCCCTACCTACCTACCTACCCTAATGTTTTTGGACGTGTAACCGGAACCACACATATTTTTTTGTTTGGCCTTACCATCAGTATACAGTACTGTAGACAAAGAGTGGGTCTTCTGATGTCATGGTTACCATCAGTATACAGTACTGTAGACAAAGAGCAGGTCTTCTGATGTCATGATTACCATCAGTAAACAGTACTACAGAATTACAGGAAAAAAAATTGCTTGCATTTTATGAAAGGATTGTTTTACAACATGAAATAGAAAATGTATAAGAAAGCATATGTTCAGAAACTGTTGTAAGTTATTGTTTAGTTTACTGATTGTGTAATAATGATGTCATAAAATAAATGCTAGATCTATTGATTGGTTTTTCATGTCGACTACAAACTCAAATATGTAGAAATGAATGCATTAAAAATTGCTTATTTTTGGCTTCAGATCCTCTTCCCCACCTAGAAGGCGGACCAGGAGTGTCAGTAGAGAGGGAAGTTCTAAGCATGATGAACGCTAGAATTCCAGACATGTCATGTTCCATCCATGCAAGACTGACTTTTTGTGATCATGTATGACACCTCATTTTTGAACATTGTAAAATGATTTGAACACGAGAAAACCATGACTTTTTTAGTCACGTCATCAACTTTACATAGCAAATGTTTGATGAAGTATCTGTGAAGGATATCTTTCTTTGCATTGATGTTTTTATTCCATTTTTTCATGATTTGTTGCAGTCATACATGCACTCTCTTTTTTTTTTTATTAAGTTCATTTTGATGTGTATAGTATATCTCTTGCAAAATGTTTTATTCTACAATATATCACTTGCATAAATTGTTTAAATGCAGGAATGTAATAAAGTTTTGAATACTGGCAAAAATATCTACTGAACTAAAAATCATCATTAGATTAAATCAGTGTTAGAAAGTATATTTATGTAAGAATATCTAGACTGAATATTGAATATTTCAAAGAAAGGTTTAAGAGTATTTCCAGTTTAAGAATTGATACATGAACATTGATTTTTCAGTATGTTGAGTTTGTTTTACAGAATGTTTTGTATGAAACGGTAATAAACATGTATAAAGATTTTTAGCTGTGTTTCTGTTTTAAAGGATCTGAGGAAAGATTGTCATAATCCTGTAGATTTTAAGCGCACATTGACTGGGTTTATGGAAAGGATTGAAAAAACATTTTTTGAAATCATATAAGCTTATCTTTGATTTTCAAAGGGTACCTGGCATTTACTCCCAGGAAAAATGTACAGTGTATTGATGAACAGATATTGCAGTTTACATGAGTACAAAAATGCACTCAAATAAAGTTATGGCAGTTAATTTATCAGTCTATTAAATTGTTATATATGTTTATGCTTAAATTGAATAACAGAACTAATTGGGTGCCAAATTTAAAAAAAAAAAAAAAAAGAGCAAATAAGCAATAAACAAGTTTTGAAGGAGACACGTAAAATCATGACATGGCTGCTATTCGGAGGCAAGCCATATTTGTTACAAATTAAGGATCACTGGTTTTGAAAAATATCAGGAACTTTTGAGTGAAATATCTTCATTTATAAAATGAAGTTGGAAGGTAATAGGGTATCCCAGCACACGCTTGATTCTGTACTAAATGTGAATCGAGGCACATGATGAAATTAATTTTCTCTATGGAAGTTCTAAACACCAATGAAAAATGAGATAGTATTTTGCTACAGTGTAATTTTATGAAGATGCTGGTGTACATCTTGCTACAAAACTCCTGCTGAGGACAGTCCTTCATAAGATCTTGGTACTTCAGGGTTTTCCACTGGTATGCATCCTCCATTCTGTCTTCCCAAGCACTGTCGATTCCATACGAATTGTTTGGTTGCCACTGACTGGATAACTTGTTAGTGACTGCTATTTATACCCCCCGCAAACGAAGTTTGGGGGGGGGGGGTATATTGGAATCAGCATGTCCGTCTGTCTGTCCGTCTGTCTGTAGACGAGATTTTGTCCGGACCATTTCTTGGAAACTGTTGGAAGGATTTGTCTGAAAATTTGTACACTTATTATTCACCATATGAAGGTGTGCACCTGGTATTTTCATTATGATTGGATGATTATTTTGCATTTTACAGGAGTTTTTTTTCATTTTTATTATGTGGTTTTGTCTGGATCTGTTCCCAGAGACTATTGCATAGATTTGTATGAAAATCTGTACACTTATTATTTACCATATGAAGATGTACACCTGATATTTTCAACATTATTTGATAATTTTTCTGCATTTTACAGGTGTTTTTTTTTTTTTAATTTAATTTATTGACTTAGTCATTTTGGGTTCATGTCTAAGGTTTGAGACATAGAATCTAGAACATCTGTACAAAAATGTGAACTACAGCTTAAAACTACTCATTAGAACTAAAAAAAAAACCCCACAAAGTATTAAAAACAGTTTTTTTCATTACACAGCAGATAGTGTAAATCCATTTGTCCCTTGGGAGTAATGAGTGGACATGCATCCAGTTAAAGATTAATTAATGAGTTCAGTGTGGGAAGCTGTTAGGGCATCTCTGATCAAGCAGGTCTTATCTATATCTCAGGGGAATTGGGCAGAAAGAAATAAAGATCTCTGTTGTCGAAGTCTCTTAATTGTAATTTATGTCTGTCAAAATACATAGTTACTAAAACCAGCCTTTTATTTTTAAAATGAGTTTGATATAAAGGTATTAAAATCAATTTGATTTTCTATAATTAATTATGATATTCTTTTTTTCAACAATCAATTTGCAGAGTGTCATGTCTCACAAAGATGGCAGATAGTTGCGAACTATTTTTTCAATGTAATAAAAAACACTGTAATCATTAGTGTTTATGTTTTATTAGTCTGCACCTTAGTTTCATTCATTAAAAAAGTGCCCCACCACAGCATGATACACCCATCAAATATTGTTAAATTATCATAAACAGTTTAGATTCAATTGTTTGAATGACATCTTAGCGAGACAAGGCAGTCTGCAATTTGTTGTAAAGATATAAAAATTCAAATAAAAAATGTACAATAAATAATTAGTTTAAATTATATTATACAATATCATATAACTTTTAATTATTATATACAATATCAAATTAGTTGTCACCTATTCTCACATAATCCGTCCATATGCGCTATTTGGATGTCGCAAGCAATTTAAATTACATTATTATTAAAATAATTGGTATATTTTGTAGTGTTTTCGTTTGTGATACGTCTAGTTACCAAACCAACATCGTTAAGTGTTAATACACAGGTTAAAACTTCCCTGGGATCCAAGTATATAGTCTAATAAATGGCTTCTCGATCTGTCGCTTAGGCAAAAGGCAAAGTTTGGACCAATGAATAAAACAAAACAATTACATTTTATGCTAAAAAGCACGACTTTTACATATAACAATGCATGAATATATTGATTTTTCACACTTTTAGATATTTGTCTACAGTGAAATTTTTAAAAAATATAAAATAACTTTGTCGCTAAATTTCTGTAATTTACGTTATCAAAATCTTAGTATTTGTGTAAACAGCATAAAAGGGTATCTAAAAACATAAAATATCTACTAGAATATCCAACAAAGTCCATAAAAGGCAATCAGAAACAAAGAAAAGTTATATGACAGAATACTTACAGAAACACATTGGTCTTTTAACCAGAGGTGAGTGGTTCGTTTTAAGGATGTATTTTACGTTATCAACGATACTTAAAGAATACAAGTAAAATTGTCTTTGCATATTAATTTATTTCTTCTTCCTGACCTACCAAACACGTAAAATATTAAAACGAACATTGATCTGTGCGACTACACATTTTACACCAATTAATCTGATAGAAAGTAATTTACGTTATGTAATTTACGTTATCAGTATAATACATATATGGTACCTATCTTGCAAATAAGACGTCGGGACAATACGGAACCATGCAGGAAACGTTATTGGTTTCTTCTCGAAAGCATCTTAACATCACCGAACTTCCTATGTAGATCTGATGCAGGAAGCGCCATCATATAACGTAAATTACGTGTTACCTTTAACAACTTTCAAATAATTCCTCAAAGATGTATTTTTGGCGTGAATTTCAGTTGATTTTACAAACAAGGTGTACTTCTATTTATTTGTAGCAATATTTTACGCATAAATCTCTCTTCATTGATTACTTGATGAAGCAAAACATTCATAACGTAAATTACAGTAAAAATAACATAAATTAAATATAATTTAATTGCCTTTCTCCGTAATTATATTTCATAGATTTCATTTAACAGAGATTGTAAAGTCAAAAGCAGAAATTAAAAAAGCAAATGGGGAATAAAAGAGGAAAAAATAGGGAGAGGCATAACTAGAGAAAGATAGGAAAAAATACATACCAACAGCAGATCTTACATTGTCATTATATTTAACTGTGAATCTCTCAAAAGGATGAAAAATAATCAGTGTTTGTGGCATTTTGTGGGCAATTGAAAATAATACATGTCATTAGATGGATGAAAATAAGTTCAAGAAAATATTAATTTTTGGTTTGAATACCAGTAAAATTGTAATTTACGTTATCAATATATTTCTTTAAGAAAAACCAATTTAGAATTTTCACAGTCTCTTCCCAAATTAAATTTTAAAATCCTCTTCTCTTATGATTCATAAACATAAAAGTAAGTCGCACAGGAATTCAGCTTAAACATTTCAAGTAAGAAGGAACAGAATTATTTCAGTTGAAAAATAAGATTAAAGCAAATAAAATTTGTTAATTACAAATTAAGAGAAAAACACTGGCAAAAAAACAAAATTTTCGAAGTATTTTTATTAGTACAGACATAGTGCTAAAAAAATCCAAGTGAAACTGAATATTCATTTTGGCAATAAAACGATTTTTGACGGGTTCATTTCGACGTAAGATAATAACGTAAATTACGAAGGTAAATACACTACCTATATTGCATATTGAATATTTTTGTCATCATGCATGGTTGAGTTCTGATATTTTGAAAAATAATTCTCCCATGATTTGTTTGCTAAAAAACATCGACTTCTCCCCCAAATAATGACTTTATTTTTTCAATGAAAGTTAGGCTGCATGTGGACGGATTATGTGAGAATAGGTGTTTAATTACATCAAATTTATCTTGAAAGTAAGACTAGCCAACAAGAACAATTCAATACAACACAAGCAATTAATTAAGAGACTGATTCCTTTTGCCCAATTCCCAAGAGATGTAGATAACACCTGCTTGATCAGAGATGCTCTACCAGTTATCTCCTCACACTAAACTCATTAATTTCTCTCTAATTTGACATGCAATTTTCTGCTATCAAAATTTTCCTTGACCAGTGCCTGATCATTACACCCATGGGAGAGGTGGAATTTTTGTTGTTACAGATTGCTGTAAAGAACATAATGAAAAAAATAAGACTAGTATTTTCTTGATTTAATACTTTTTTTAATAAAGATACTGCAATACTCTGACATCTTTTGGGACTGTGTAATTTAAAAGTTAAAAGACATAGTTTTTTGATTCTAAGTCTAATGGTTTTCTAGTTATGATTTTTCCATATCTGGCCATAGCGTCTTTATTAAAGGTCATAGCAACCTGGTTTTAATGTGCGACACACCTTCTACCCTAGATGTATCAGCTGACAAAGTTTGATAATTCTAGGCCTAATAGTATTAAAGTTATGAGCCAGACATGAAAAAGCTAACGGACTGAAAAACATGAACGCTATAACATAATACGTCCCGTCGTAAGACGGACGTATAAAAATATATAATGAGTAATTAAATTTTCACTGTAAATGTTTAAGGAAATTGTAAACACCTCTCACATCTAGAAAACATTAGTGATTTGGTACTTTCTCTGAAAAACCCAGCGGGGGGTATTTGTCCCTTTTGGACAGTTCTAGTTCAGGGTAAACTCGATCAGATCTAGGGGCGTAGCTGCCTATACGCCAGCACGCCATGGCGTGCACATCTTTTAGTCCAAAAAAAAAAATTACTGTGCATTTTTATAAAATTTATTATTAAAAAAATGATTATATCGTCATATAAAAAATTAAATTCCTAAAAGATTCCGTGTAAACT